GCCTTTCGCATAGCTCTTAATCTCCAGGATTGCTCACTTCAGTACGATATCTGTCACAGGCTCCTTGCAGCTGGCATCAAAGGCGAGACACTCGACTCTGGTCTCATAACTGCACAAAGACAGCCCTGGAGTCATCCATCGCTCATGGAGTTGCTTCTAAAATTTGGCGCTAATGTGAACTTCAAAAACGGTGCCGTGGTTCGAAAAGCGATCAAAAACTCCGATGACAAACAGCTCAAGATTCTGGTTTCTAACGCGCCGTCGACAGACACCTTGGGTGTGGCTTTGGACGTGTTGCTGAAAACGAATACAAGCACCAAAAACCAAATGGCAGCAATCCTGCTGGATGCTGGTCGCGACCGAATGCCAAAAATAATAAACGAGTTTTTGGCTGAGGCAGTGAGACTGAAGTCTGACACGTCCCTCGTGAAGTTGATTTTGGGATTTGGTGCCTCTATTAATGATGGAGATGGACAAGCTCTTGCCTTGTCTATTGAAACCTGCTCGTTTGATATTATGACGATCCTTCTAGAACACGGCGTCGCCAATGAGTCATTAGAAACGGGTTTTAGCTCCGCATGGGCCCTTCAGGGTGCTGAGCGATTCCAATATACTTCCAGGATTCTCCAGGCAGGTTATGATGGACCGCATATTCATAGGGCTCTTGTTGAAACAGTAAAAGAGTCTGTTGTTGACACTGAGACTTTGAAGTTGTTACTCAATCATGGTGCTTCGGTTCATTGCTCTAACAACCTACCTCTCCTTCACGCTGCTATGTCGATGGATGCAGCTACCTTAAAACTATTACTGGAGGCCGTTTCCGATCGGGGCGCTATTAATGATGTTTTTTCACAAATGACTTCAGCAGGCAATACTTGGCTGTCCCCCGCCGGTCTACTGGTAATCAAGCAGCTTCTAGAAAACGGAGCTTGCGGCGAAGTGATTGATTCCGCCTTGGCAGTCTCTGTCGAAAGCTTCGGTATTATCGCCGATGCTACAGATGCTGTAGATCTCTTCATTCGATTCGGGGCGAATGCTGATTATGACAACGGTCGAGCTCTCAATATAGCTGTTGCAAAAAATAGCCCAGTGCTTGTGCGCAGGCTTTTAGGATCTGTTAAATCAACAGTCAATCTTCTTGCAGCATTTTCTGCTATCCTTTCATCAAACTTACCAGAAGACACAACCCTTGAATTAATCAAAATATTTACTCAGATTCCCGGAGGCATTCCAGATTTAAATAGCTACATGTATGATGAGGATGGAACACAGCGGGAACCAGTCACATTCGCAGCGTTAAGAAAGTGGCCGCGTGGAACCAAAATTCTTGAAGCTTTGTTGAAGGCTGATATTCTTGTTGACCAAACCATCCCATATGTCATTGAGTCTAAAGAAGGGTACGAGCAGGTTTCCCTCCTTCTATGGGCTTTTCTTCAGCCACAACAAAAAATCAGTCCTTATGTTATTGATTGCCTGCTGAGGAATGGAGGTAGGTGTGGAAATTTTTTTCGCTTGGGTTTCTAAATTACCATTTCTAACAACTTTTCTTGTAGCAAACCCGAACTTCCAATCCACTGGATCTCACCAAACTCCCTTGCTGGTTGCAACAATGGAGAGAACACCAGATATAGTGCACACACTCATCCAACATGGTGCAGATGTTTCAATATGTGACATATATGGACGTACCCCACTTTTATACGCCAGTAAACGCGGCCAAGTAGCAACCTTGCGCCACTTGCTAAACGCAAATCCTGGCGTTGATGATGGCAGCATTCATGAAGCTGCGCGTGAATTGCACTTTGATGCTGTCAAATTACTCCTTGATTATGGCCATGATCCTAATTTCCCTTCAATGGCTCACGACGGCCGGAGTGCATTAGGAGAACTGTGTCTCAATGCAGCAGCAGATTCGGCGACGTCGTTTGGTAAACTCAGGCAGACGATTGATATTCTCGTGGCGGGAAAAGCCGAACTCATTTCTGATAGAGGCCGCAAGCCACTTTTGATTCATGCCTTGGATAACCCAACCGGCTGCACGAATGTTACAAAGGCACTCCTCGCGGGGGGCCTTTGGAGGCGTGTTAATGACGAGAAAAACCTCTACTCTCAGGACGGTTTCGTGTTCTCCCCTACAATGTACCTTACCAAGGGTTTGCAGAATAGTTCCAAAGAATATGTCCCGGACCTTCTACATATCCTCAAGGCCAACGGATGCAAAGACGTTTTCTACAAACAGGAAGGTCCTCAACCACCAGACATGGTCGGGGCGCCACAAGACATCCTCGAAGAGGAAAGGAGGCGAAAAGCACGAGAACGCCGCCTAGAGGAACAAGAAGAAGAACACCAACTAGCCCTGAAGCGCGAAATGGAAGTTGCGGAACAGCAAAATCTCGTTATGAAAAAGGCCCATACTCTTCGGATCCAGCAAGATCGCGAGGTAGCCGAAAACCGTGACGCAGCCACGGCCAACTCGGCCGCGCTACAACTGCGCCTAGAAGCCACCACAGCTGCACAACGCCAAGGGATAGCAGACCAGCAGCGACATGCAGATCTCCAGCAACAACGAGCCCTCAACCAAATTCGGCTCGAAGCCACAAAGGAGGAAGGTAGACTACAGATTGAATTCCAAAAAACATCTGCAGCAATCCAACAGAATGTTTTTGACGGACGAGTGCAGGCGGAGTCCCGCAGGCTAAAGGAGCTGGAGACTGCGAATGAGCGACAGTATAAGCGGGATACTGAGCTGCTGTCACGCCAGGAGCGTGCTATGGCTAGTCGAAAAGCAATGATGGCAGATGCTAGGGGGTTCGCGTTACCTGCTATTAACGAGCCACAGCGAAGGATTGGACAGGGCGACTTGAGTCCGGATTGAGCGGAAAGCTGTTTTTCTACTTTTGAATATCTTCGTCGAATTTACCTTTTTTTTTTTTTTTTTTTTTTTCATCGTCCATTTCTTTTCTGATCCCCTTTCAAAATTTGCTGATATTGACTTCTATTGCCAATGTATGGAACTTAAGAAAGCTCCACAGATTATTTTCATGATACTACCTGTCCCCATTTGGCATATATATATAAATCCCCAATCTAAATTTATTTAGCATGGTGATTCCTTTCCCTGTTTTTTAAGATCTACTCGAAAACCCTATAGTTGCTCTAAGCTATTTCTCTATATAGCAAGATGTGGAAAGACTTCCGGAGGTGACAACAGGAAGAAAGGAAAACAAAGGGAAAATCTCTTCTGCGCACAAACAAATGTAAAAAGGAAAGGTGGGGAGAAATTTTCGACGCCACGCATTCGAGAAATGTTGTCATAATCAGAACAGAAAATTGAAAAGGAATAAATAAATATACTGAAGAAAAACAAAAGCACTCAGACGAAAGTAAAGAAAACACAAGATCATCTATCTATATGGATAAGAGTATGAAACATTCGCATTACCCATCAAAATGAGCTCATAATAACGAACAAAGGAGATGTAACAGAAAAAAAAAAAAAAAAAAAAAAAAAAAAAAGGCACGGAGCAGGAAACTGGAGTAAAAATTCCTAGGAATGGTACACGCATGTAAGTATTATACAGAGGTATGTGATTTATACCTCACGTTCGATCATATGCGTCCTCGCCGGACCAGTTCCAATCCACTTAATCGGCACACCGCCCATCTCCCGCTCGATGAACTGGATATAACGCTGCGCATTCGCCGGCAGATCCTCCCACCTTATAATGCCCATCGTAGTCGACTTCCACCCGGGGAAGGTCACATACTCCACCTCAACCTTATCCAGAACACCGGGCAGCGCAGGGAACGACTCCAACCGCTTCCCATCCAGCTTATACGCGACTGCAACCTTGATCTCATCGAAGTCATCCAAGATATCCAGCTTGGTTAAGTTGATGGAGGTGTAGTGGTTGATTGAATTACTGTAGCGACACATGACCATGTCGAGCCAGCCGCAGCGACGTCGTCGGCCGGTTGTGACGCCGAATTCACGCCCGATCGTCTGCATCTTTTCGCCGATGGCGTTGTTCTGTTCCGTAGGGAAGGGGCCGGATCCTACGCGGGTGCTGTAGGCTTTTACGACGCCGATGATGGATCTTATGGAGGTTGGGTTGAGGGTTAGGCCCTGGATGGCGCCCCCGACGCCGGTGCAGGAGGAGGTTACATAGGGGTAGGTGCCATGATCGATGTCGAGCATGAGGGCGTTTGCGCCCTCGACTAGGATGGAAGGGGAGGAGCGGTATTTTTCCAAAAAGGTCATTTGATCGACGACGTAGGGTTGGAGTTTTGTGCGGTATTCCTTGTTGAATGGGAAATCTCCAGGTCAGTACCTTTTATTCAGAACTTTGTCTGCCGGCCTTGATCCGGAACTGGGAAAGGGGAATGCACATACATTGAACCTCCCGATCTCCTCTTCAAGGTCGTAATTCAGCTCTCCAAACCGCGCTCGGTATCCCGCTTCCAGTTTCCGTAGATTGTCCTCCACCACGCCCTCCTCCAGGACCTCTCCGATCCTCACTCCTCGTCTGGACGCCTTATCGCTATAGCAAGGCCCAATCCCTTTCCCCGTAGTCCCGACCTTCTTCCCTGCCAAACTCGCCTCTTCCAGCCCATCGACAACAGAATGCAGGTCAAAGCAGACCTGCGCCCGATCGCTGATGAATATTCGCTTATGGGCGTCCTTGAGGCCCTTGGCTTTGAGCGCATCTAGCTCCTTGAAGAAACTGGGAAGGTGCACGACGGTTCCGGTACCAATGAGGTTGACGCAGTCGGGGGCGATGAGGCCGGAGGGAAGGATGTGGAAGTCATAGGTTATATTATCATGAACGATTGTGTGGCCCGCATCTGCAGATCGAATGGAGCGGGGATTGGTGAGTCATTCATTTATCCATTGTTTCCGCCATCTCTTATATCGGTCCGGTTCAATGTGAAGGAGAGGCAGGAGAAAGGACTGCAAAACTCACTGTGTCCACCAGCTGCTCGACAACAAAGTGCAGCAGATTGAGAGAGAAGATCTGTGATTTTTCCTTTGCCTGGGTTTTTTAAAATACAAGATTCTTGGTGTTAGTTTTCATTGCGAACAATTGCTTAGGCTGACTGACAGATTTGATAGAACAAACAACAACGTTGGACAAGTGTTTGCCTTGGACTAACCTTCATCACCAAACTGCGCGCCTAAAACAATGGTGACCATCTTCCTGTCTCTTATCTCTTCCTTTTTACTATCCCGCGCGATCCCAGCAAAACGAGTCTACTTTTTCCAATTGAGATTGAATAAGCTGAATGAGAATTCTATGACCAGTTCATCCACTCAAATTAATTGAGAGCATAGTAGTTTCGCAAGCAATAAATGAAATATGGCTGGTTGAATACCGAAGGGAAACAGCAATGGATCAGTCCCGGTGCAAAAATATTTGGAGTTTGTAGCCGAATTTAGATTTGATGGCGGGGCAAATGTGGCATGCTTGAGAGACCATTGTTCTTCTTATTATGCAATCTGGTCCTTACGGAGTTAAAAACCATTTCTTTCTCATGAAAAAGAAATGAAGAAAAGAAATGAAATTGAAAAGGAAAAAAAAAAAAAAATAAATAAATAAATAAAAAAAATAAAAAATAAAATAAAATAAAATAAAATTTCAGCGAGGGGCAAGGTCAAGTTAGGGCTTAGGGCTGCACTTAGGGCTAATGGTTCCTAAAGCGGAAATCAGAACATTATCAATGTCAGGTCAGATAGTACAGAGGAATTGGTATCGTGATACAAATATACAGAAACACATAATTACACCTCATGGGTAAAAATAGTTCACGTAAGAAGCAACATACAGAAAAAAAGAGAATAAGAAAGTGAAGGGCAAGCAACCCAGCAAAGCATCGGGGGTATAGCTGCGCATAAGCATGGGGAATATGGATCTCACTAAAGAGAAGAAAAAAGAACTCCTGCTTCCAATCGTACAGTCCAATCCTGTTATGAACGTCGTGATGGTAAATGCCTCTCCTCCCTATATCGTCGGTTATACGTTATCTCCTCTCCCAGCCCTCCCCAAGTAAACCATGAGTATATTCCTTCAATACAAGTCGGTACCAGATTGCCCTATGATATGTACAGATTTCGTACATATCCCAAATCCCGACACTTGCCTATTCCCATTACAGAAAGTGTATATCCACGAAAGCAAACGAGGAGACAAAAAGAAATGTATAGAGAGCCAGAACTATCCAACAACCCCCCCAGCTGACATGCGCCGGTGCCGGGTTCCGCCCCTCATGAACCTTCGTGTCGCATCCAGCGTCTCCAAACATGTCAAGTGGCGTTCCCACGCAACCTCCCAATGTTGCCTTACGACAAAATCCTCCTTGACACCTCGCATGTATGCATTAAACCCCCCCTTGGCGCTCCCAGCAACCAGCTGCTCATCGTCGGCGTCGTTGTCATCATCGCCATCTTGTACAGCGCCATCATTATCCACGGTCGTTTTGTTGGCCTTCTTCCCTGTTGAATCAACCCCGTCGTTAATACGTAACCGTGCCGAGTCACCGACTGCCCTGGCCCAATTGGGCGCAAGCCCCGTCTCGACCGTCTGCTGCCTTGCGTTGAAGTGACCGAGCATGGTACGGTTGAATACGTTCCAGTCGTGCATGTATGCGTTGATTTCAGCCACGTAACGTTCCCACTTTAACTGTACCTCAGCCTTGTGGGGGTGGTCTGCTGCTACGAAATTCGGCGCCGGAGGAACTCTTGGGGGTTTTGGAAGTGCGAGGTCTTGTGGACGGATAGTTAGTCGAGATCCACTGCTGTCGTTTGGTCTAGATTCGAACGGGAGCGTGCTGCTAAGATCATTGAGGTCGTTAATGCCGGTGCTATTGGTTGGTGTGAATGGCGCAACGTTGGCGAGATGTTTTAGGTTCAGGGTATTGTTGGATAGGGGAGGAGATGGCGCGGGTTTTGTTGTGCCTGCAGTGGGATGTTTGACTGTTGTGTCTATTTTTGTATTTGGTGCTGTAGGATGTTGACGTTGCGGTTTGCTCGCCGGGAGCTCCTCATCAATATCCATTGCTTCAACACCTTCAGGAGGAACTGATTTGGGTTCATCGGTGTTTCCAGGAGATAACGTCGATTCAGCCTCCTCTGATTCTGTCGTGACCGAGACTGGTTTGGGTATTGTTTGCTTCCGCCTCATGACTGGTTTCGGTTGCTTTGGCGGACTTTTCTGTCGGGTTGGATTATGGGGAGGTAGTTCATTATGGGGAATAGACCAAATATCGGCTTTCAGAACTTCCTCCTTCCATTTGTCGACTGAGAATCCAGATTCCGTAAAATGGGACGACTTCTTGGAATCATCTCTTTGGTTCTGATTCGTACTCCCAGGTGGTGGGAAGGGTCGAGGATGTGTCGTAGAATTTGGCCTGCTTATACTCTTGCTGCGAGCGCGGGACGGTTTGGGTTGAAAGGGAGGCTCTCTAGAAGGTTTCGGCGCGAAGAATTCGGTTGCATGCTGAAATTTGCCGCTCCAATCCGCGGCGGAGAAGGTAACGTCGATACTTTCATGACTTCTGCTCTTGGGTTTACCGTTGAGAGGTATGTTATTGTTTGCAAACGGGCCAAAACTGGGAATTGTAACTGGGTCAGCTTTCATCCTTGTCTGCTTATTCTGGGTTGAATCCAGTGGGTTCATCTGAAGTTGAGGTCCGTCATGCGCTATCTCATCTGTAATCGGGAACCCAAAACTTTGGTCCCGATCTTCTTTTCTCCAATTTGGAAGTTTAGAAAGCTGGGGTAGGATGCTAGACGGATAAGCCCAAAGTGGGAATGATTGCTCAGGGGTATCAGAGGGGGTGGTCGATGAAGTGAAACCCCATCTTTCTGACCACTCGCGAATGAAAGACTTAGGAGATGGGCCATACATATTATTGGAATTCTCAGTCTTATGTGACTTCCTTAAATTTTCAGAAGGGTTTCCAGTCGCGTGATTCGGTGGGTTATTGGCAGAAGTAGGGGCCTGCTGTGGATGGTCTTTCGCAGCCGGAGCATATCCGTGGGAGGCATGAGGGTTAAATCCCACGTTGTTTGGGTGGTGTCCTTGAGGTTTCTCAAAGTCAGTATCCGAATGCCATCGCACCCGCAGGTTCTGTCTGGGAGCTATATTCGGCGACATATGGGGTTCAGAAAAGAGCCAAGATGCTCTATGGGTTGCCCAGCCCAAAGGCTCCTTACCGGAATCAGTTTCCATAGTCATAGGGTCTGTTTTCGCAAACATCCTACTCCGTGGAGTCCGTTTCGGTCTGGACGATATATCAACCTCCTCCGAATCGCTTGGTGACGGAGAAGACGAAATGGTCCGGTTGCGGTTCGGTTTCAGCTTCGGGCTGGCACTGTGATGTCTTCCACGATTAGGTCGGGGAGAGGTCGGACTTGGCGGGTTGGTACGGGGCCGAGAATCAGATTCAGTAAAAGGCGAATTCCTAGAACTAGAAGATCGCCCGACTCCCGCACTCGACACATATGTTTTCTCCCCACCGGCAGTTGCATATTTACTGCTAGTTCTCTGGAGATTTGGAATGGTATTATTATCATTTGTCGATTCTTCCTGACGCGGCCACTTCTTTGCCGTCGGGGGAGGCGCGGGCTCAAATTGAGACTGAAAATAAGAAGTCCGGTCCCTATTATAACTGGTGTAGGCTGACGTATTCTGCGCCATTGGCTCATCTCCCCCTGGAGTTCCGGGAGCAAATCCTTGTCTCTTCTTTGCTTGTGCACGTTGCGGAGATGCCTTTGGGACATTGAAAAATGCCTCATATGCGGATTGAGGGCGCTGAGAGGGTCGCGGAGTTGATCCCGATTGGTTTGATCGGCCTGTCCTTGGATCGAACCCTGACCATCCACCTATGTTGACGTTCGGTTTCATTTCCTTAAATCCACGGAATGCATCCGCCCTGGTTCGCGTATCCTCGTAGATCTTGTCCCATTTTTGCGAAGTTGCTTTCGCGTAACTTGTGTATTTCTGTGCTCCGGCAGAAGGAGGTGCGGGATAGGAGCCAGGGTGTGGAAAGCTTTGAGGGTGGTGTTGGCCATTTGGTTCACTAGGTCTTCGCGGCTGCGCACCAGGTGTTGGCGTTCCCCTAGATTGACCTGTAGGGTTTGGGGTGGCTCCAGTGTGGTTAGCCGGCGTGGGTGCTCGTCGAGGTTGAGGGTGGTTTGACTGTGTATTTTGCGGCCGAGGAGGTGCACTTGCTCTGGGCGGCCCATAGCACTTACCATATCCGGCCCGGAGCCTGCTCGTGTCGTATTTTAATCTCTCTTTGGGATCTATAAGGATTTCATATGCAGCTTGGATGGCCTGAAATTTGGCATTAAATTCGAGTTCTTTCCCTGGATTCCTATCCGGATGGAATTTTAAGGCTATCAGACGGTGTGGAGTTTTATTAGTAACGACCTGATAATGTAGTATAGGCGCTGTGGGGAGGGGGAATGTCCCACCTAACTTCCTGTACTTTTTTCGTATTTCATCATCTTCAGCTTTCGGGTCAAGGCCTAGATCGGCATAGTAATCCTTCTTTATGTCCGCCTTCACCATTCTCACAGTCCCATCTATATCTGACAGGCACGATAGGAGGAAGGAGTTTCCGGGTGATTGTGCTCAACTGTCTGGGTTGGACAGCAAAATGTAGGAGAGGCCGCGTTTATCATTGATCACTGGGAACAGATGTGCGCATCGTTATTTGAAGGATAACTTCCTACAGGAGCAAAATGAAATAATAGTTGAAGGATGACCACGTAGTAAACCTATTGTTTGTGATATAGAACGGGCGCCCAATCCAACACTCAAAAGATGACTAGTTATATGAAACGATGGATATAATATCGACTTTCAGTGTGCAAGACTGATTTGAATCACAATGCGAGAGGGACAATTATTGGTTGATGGCGCACAATTTGTAGCTGACCGGAAGAACCACAAGGATAATTAGCCAGTGTCATTCCGAAGCGGATAAAAGCAGACTATTCGTTTATTTTTAATTTTCCTCCACGACCAGATGGCACAGGATGCCAGCACGTCACACAAACGGAGAGATCTCCCATCGGTCCAACAACTGAGTGGTCCAGCCGACCAGGGAGCAATAAGTGAGGCAAAATAAATGGGAAGGCAGAGAGAAACAGAGCTACTGCAAAGACAGATTCAACGACGAAGACACGGGCAGGGCCAAGTGTGTGGACAAGAATTGGGCGACTTTACCGGTTGGGTTTGTCTTTTGGCACGATATCTGAGGCTGGTTGGCCTTGTCAGGTAGCAGTACTCGCAGCAAGAGCCACTCTCAGTCCAATAATGCAGAGCGTGCACGGAAGCTACTCCAGGGAGAGACGCAATGTGAGGAAGAGGAATTTTGCATCGTCCTCAGACGGTTCGGAGAAGAACTGCTGTACCTGAAGATTGCCTCGTTCCTGGGAGAGAACTGCGGGATGTGGCTGGCGGTTGGGAGAGACGACGGTTAGGAGAAGCTTTCGAGTGACACAAATCTTGATCGGCTTACTTTTGGCAGAGGTAGAAGGGTGGCTGGTGAGGGAGGATAAATGAAGATTTTGTTTATGGGATAACTAACTCTCCTCCATATGTTCCGAGGTTGTCTTTGTTGTTGATGTTTTCATTCCTTTTTTCTTCGGCGACGGGTTTCCCCAGCCCCAGATTAAGCTAGCCCTAACTAACTACTAATTTAGTTGTTTACTCAACAGGCATGGACATACATAGCCTTAAGACCCCATGCGGTTGCTAAGGACGGATACATATTTGTTTTTATAATCTTTGCTCATTGAATCCACGGTTAGGTTAACTTATCACATGCTTACATTACATCGTAAGCAGTTAATTTAACGTACCAAGGCAATGCAATAATATCATGATGGGATCCGTCAATTTGCATCGACAGATTTCAACATAGAAGCACAATCCTCCTTTTCCAACTTTGGCCTTTACAATCTCATGTTGCCTTACAGCGCATTCACATATTAGGTTTAAACATTTTCCAACATGACCCGTCATTGTGGGTGCCTTGTTGGTAGCGGGAAACCGAGACTTGCAAAAGAGATAACGCACCGCATCGCCAGAGTATCCCATCATCATGCAGGCTGTTGCCATGTTGCCATGTATGAATGTATGCCGAAATATTCTCTTCACGGCCTGTTCCGATATTGATTAAGCGATCTGACGAACCTGGCGATCCCATTGTCACAAAAATACTCGCCATGTGCTCTCTCCCAACGCGAGTGTCTAACGCCGCCTAGCGGCCAACAGTGTGTTTAGCCAAGTGGGAACTGGGAATAAAAAAACAGGACTGTCTGTACAGGACATTGTGAAGCTCCTAATTTGCAGTTTCGATATATCCACAAACTATTCATCAAACTATTCATTGGAGATTTAGACTTGAGCAGCATCAATATATTTGCTTTGCTTTGCACACTGACGTTTGCTCGAAAGGCTTGAAATATCAGTTGTGACCTGGATAAAGCAAAAGCGAGTACTAACATTTGAGAAAATTTCTAACCTTTGCATACAAAATCGTCACCATAATACAGAATCGACTACCAAATAGAAACACATGATCAGATGAGAAGGCCAAAAAAAAAAAAAAAAAAAAAAAAAAAAAAATTTGTAAAAGTACTGGCATAAAACATATATACAACAGCGGGAATGTATTGAACAGCTACTCATCAAACATCCATGGAACGAGGATAACAAAGACAAGATATAAAGTAAATTTAATCACCATATCATCTATCCCCCTCAATACTTCTGCTGATGTTAGTCTCATTCGCATTCCGTCTGACCAACTACCAGCAATGGGAGTGTCGTCGAGGTTATTGTTGTTATTGTTGCTCCCGGAATTGTTATCGGTTATGGGTGATGCTAGCGTCGGGGCAGGTTGAGGCAGCGTGCGTCAAATGTGGTCGGCACATTACGTGTGGGGATTTGCTGTTGGAGAAGTATTCTCGGTCACCGTTGTGCGAGGACTGGGACGTTAAAGGGCCGGTGCTCGTTTTGAGGAGATGCTGCAGGCGTGGTGTTTTGTTTGAGCAGGAATATTCTTGCTGCTGGGGACGCAGGTGGCGGTATTGGTGTTGGCCCTGCCGCTGGTGAAGTTGCGTTTATAGCGGTGAGAGTTTACTTGCTGTGTCGAAAATCTGCATCGTCATAGTTGACTTTCGAAGGCTGCTGGATTCAAAATTGCAGGGAATGGTAATGGTTCGTGAATATAGAGGGCTGTGGTAGGTGGCTGCTAACACTGCCGTATTGAGACGATGGATGGTGGCAATATTCATTCATGAATTCTTTAGGAAAACAGTCCTGAAGTTTCATGTCGTATTGCGACCGGCAATGGGTAGGTTGTAGCTGACGATGTTGTTCTCCCTGCTGCTGAGCGCTCGTGGACATGGATGAGAACTGTGTTCTTCATAAATTTGTACCGTTTCAACAACAATATTGGGTGAAACAGGTTCTCCAGCAGCTTTCAGCCTAGTTGCTCCAAGCATAGCGGCATCAGAGCCAAATCCGGTCGTAGAAAGACACATTTGAACAGTTGCTTTACTCATCCGTTCAGAAGCATCCAGACAGCTTTCTGCAGGGAGGCATTTCTCTAAGATCACCTAGGATAGATGTCGTGGAGAGAACAGTGAAGACGACATCATCTAAGTTCTTTTTGTCAAGATTCGTCAGTACAGAATAGGCCGATTTGAACAAGGAAGATATTTCATATGCCAGCCCGCGTCGAATGGCGTCGAACAACAGGTGAATGCCAAATCGCATTCAGAAATGATATCCCTATTTTTGCGTCAGCACAAAACCCAAGAGCTTGCTGAACCAAAGAGTGAACACAAGAAATAGTAAAACTAACCCGCCATGAAAAGACGAGGTGCAGCCACCCTAGGACGATGCAGATGACGATATAGCCTTCTAACCTCATTCCCGGCCTCCGCAACATTAAGGTAAATATCATCCTCATCCTCCGCATTCTCAGCATTCGTCATGGTAGGGCTGGAACCGGGAAATCGGTTGTGATGACTTGGTCAGTGATTCAAAAGGGCGCCCAGCACAGAATCTGACCAACCAGTCAAAGCTGTAGGTACACCATAATAATCGGCGACGGAGATCCCGAACCCATTCCTCCCACGCACGTGAGAGCCGATCTCCCATCTTCTTTTATAGTCATCCGCTGATTTGTCGTCCTGGCAATGTTAAATTTAATTTTGCCGGCTGCTTACCCTGCTCACCGATAGAATCAATTCCAGTTCCATCCTCATAATGCATCTCAAGGTCAATCGCAAGGCGCATTGCAACACCTATTATATACAACAGGTCGGGCGTGACAGGTCGTATCAAGGCGAAGCTCGCAAAAAGTAACACTACCTGCAATTTCTCAAGGCCACCGAAGCCGCTAGAGCTTTGCCATGACCCAAGAAAATCCTCCAAATACGCGACAGCGGAAGCATGGTATTCCTCTGCTTGATAGTCTTGGAATAAGTTCTGTCTCTTCTGGGGACAGGATGCAAAGGATCTATTGTGGCTATTCTGGCGTTCCTCTTCATAGCCTTGGACGTCACTTTTGGTATTGAAAATTAAACCTACGCTAATAGCGCACACGACATTAAGAAGGTAAAGGTCTTGAGAAAATCGTATCTCTTGGTCAATTGAATATAGCCGATGAAAAACTTCCATGAACTTGCCTCTTTGCAATACTGGAATCTGCGGATTCGCGTGTTCATAAAGTCACAAGCTGTTTTGCGACCACTTGGTCTGGAAAAGTGCTTGCTTCATTATCGGCCTTGCCTGCAATCCAAAAATGGAATCACACATAGAACTCGAGCTATCGGTTCTTCCTAATTTTCCTCGTGTCTGGCGTTAGGCGGATCTCGAACCCCCGCGTTTGGTTAAACTGATAGAAAAGGAGTTTCCAACTGCTGAAAAAACGACCCGTGCAAATGAGATTTCAAAGGTGGATCCAAGATATTTCGGACCTGAAGCACCTTGAACTGATGCCATGCCAATATTCGATACCAGATCATCGAGCCGATGTTTGACTTCATCAGGTTGGCATTTGCTATCCACGTCAAGCTTCGAGTTGTCGTCTTGATCTGGTTTTGAGGGCTCTCTAGATACCAATTCATCTTCTCTTTCATTTCGCGCTTGGCTTTGACATTCGAATCCCTTCCGGCCACAATTACTCTGTTCTAGCTTGCCGTATTTTCAGTAAGGGGGATTTGCACTACGCTTGCATCGAGTTTGAGAACCGATTTCAGTGAAGAATGCGACGGATTTGCCTTCAATTAATTCGGCTATTTTATCTCCTCCCTCATACGGCTCCGGAGATCTGAAATCTATGCCATTGTCGACGACCAATTTCCGAAGTATGCCAAGCGGGACTCTAAGAAACACACGTAGCTACGGGGTATCGCCGGTTTCGTAGTGGGTCAACACACACGCAGTGACGCGGGTTTTTTTGCATAGTTGACAGTGGGGAAGATTCTGATCGCCGCGGCTTTTCTGCAGACGACACCGGTTACTAACTGAGACGCTGCGGAACGAGGAGAGAGAGCCGGATGGTAGCGGGGTGGAATTGGATGTGGAAATCGCCGGAAATGGATTTCGAGTCAAGAACAAACGATGACCACGCTCATTGAGATTCAGGCGGTGTGATGATTTCCTCTTTGATGTAGCAGAGTAGAGTAGATTGCCACAAGAGGTAGGCCGACCATTGTGGCGCCAGGCTTAGCATAACCAACAAACGAGACCATAGCTTTCAGATAAGGATGATCACAAATGAAGTTGAAGGTGTTTATTCAAACAAATCCTCGTGATCTAATGATATTTGTTCGGTCCCGCAAAGTTACCTCCCTTCTCTTGTTTCCATCGGGCGGATCGTATGGTTGGTAATTTGGCCCTAGCATTTGAATGCAACTGGACATAGTGGTCTATGAACTAAGAAACGGGAAAGAGTGCATAAATGTATGCTCCAGGAGACAACGTTTGAGCAAAAGCCAGCTGAATGGAATTGCGCAAAGCGTTGTTGGGGGGTCCAAATGATAGATAGTGTGATGCGATAGTAAGTACTGTTTCATGCAACGTCGGAATGGAGCCAATCCCCCACATTCGGGAACCTAAGGAACGTTCATTCAAATAGAGCCACCGTAGGGAGAATCAAACTGTGACCCGCAGCAAAGAAGCGAGGATGATGCGGAGATAATGAACGGAGATTAGGGTTGGGCCGCACAAGTGTTCAAGATCAAATAACCCCTGCTAACTGTGTTTGTCGGGCTCAGCGCAACGGCTGCGTCATCTTATGGGGCGTCTAAATACTAACTATTAGGCCACTAGGGCGAAAGAGCTCAATCACCACCAGCGCCGTGGTGGTATAGAGGGTACGAATCGCCCAATCCAATCCCCCAACACTAACTTACTTTGTCCCACAGCGGACGGAAGTTGGTCAGTCAGAACACCAGTGGGCTTGACGAACATCAGTCGGAATTTGCTTCTTAATCGAATAAACTTCACCGAACCCCGCTACCCGTGTATGTATGAATTTCATGTATGTGGTTGGAGGGGAGAAAATCATGGGAGGATAGCCGTCGAGCCAAGTGTTCATAAAATATCACACTCGGACTGGTGCGCAGCTGTCTCCTGTGTGGTTCCCATTGGCAATGTTTGACTTCTGGTCAGAAATGCTCCCTGTAATAACAATAGGTAGTATTCTTGAGTTTTCAATGAGAGAGAAGGAAAAAGTTTTCATTCCATGGAAAGGTTTTGAGCCAGATGGCTGCCAGCTGAGCATTGGTTCGCAATGGTAACATATTTTCCAGCAACAATGGCCATGAGCCATGAATGAATTCCATTCCTATGAGCCATAGAGGGTTGGTATTCAGTTCCAATCTGACGCCCTGGAGTAACCACACTTCATCCAAGTCATCCGCAACTTCAAATTGATGTTGTCGCATGTCACAAAAATCCAGGTACTGCAAGAAAGCGGGCAATTTTGTGACTGGATGAACCAGAAGATCCACGGAAGGAGGTCTGATCTCAGGTGGAAATCAAGTTTCTTTGTTGTTGTTGAAATCGATATTGTATGGCCGCGGTCCGGATGAATGCAGCCATTCAAAGCAGCCTATGGCCGTCCTTATCCTAATTAGAAAACAATTATTCATAGGTTTACCACCTGCGGGCATCGATGGCAATTGTTACCATTTAGATTCCCAACCAACATAAAATTATCGTTCACTTCACGTAATACGGGTAAGCAATCGGTAATTTTTGTCGGGGACTCTTTTCGTGGCAGTTCCTGGGGAGAGTTAATTCTTGCCATGTCAATTGCGATATTTTCACCCTCCCCGGATACCATGTTCCGTGTAGCCCGTATGGCCCGCATTACAGTTTCTTACCCCAGATAGTAGGCTTTATAGATCCACGGTGCGTATTTCAACTTCAACCGATTTCAGGCAAACTAGGCCAAGATCCAGTCGAAAGTGAGGGACTAAATGAGATATTTGTCTTGATCAGGCAAATCCCAAATCCAATAAGCATCTGATTACATCGTTAGAACTCTGCAAAAGAGAGGGACGGGCGAATGTTGAAATATACCAGGAACTAAATATGAAAAGATCGTAACAAAACCTAGAATATGGAAGGGTTGCTCTTCCTTTTCCAGTGCAATTCCTCCAGTATCGCCAACAAAACTGGTTGCCTTTCATACTCAAACTGCCCTGCATATTGGGCTATGGAGCTTTGTCTAGGGAAGGAAAGTCCAGAGGAGAAAAAAAAGTAAAATGAAGGCAACCATTGCCAAGAGTTGTAGAGGGCTTTTCTGGCGTCAATGAGTATATTATGCAACATGAAAGAACCCTCGCATATGTGGTAAACCCGGATTTAACGAGGTCAATGCCAATTCCCAAGAGATCTCGATGCATCTCATTGCGAAGCCATGTGTTTATCGTAAAATACGCAGGAATTTTTCGTGCACGTTTTCTTGGATTTAGACTGCATTTGACTAAGGTAACAATCCAGCTGACCTCTGCTCTGATGCGCTGGTGTTGAGAAGCGATGTCGCTTTGACATTGGAGATTAGCTCCAGTTGTGTCTAGGTATCCAAACACAGACTATCAGCGAATCAAGGGAAAAGGAAAGGGAAGGAATGGAGCCTTACTAAATGGTGCTCAGCCTCATGATCAAGCAGCATGTGGAATGCACAAGCTGCACCATGATGTACAGTACCTCTCTTGTCTTCCCTGTCACGCTAGTATGCATGGACATTCACCTTATAGTGACCAAAACTACTGCACAGATGGAAAGCGAGAAAGCTAAAAACAACAAAGCGCCGGGAGCAGGGGTAAAGTCCAGGTGAAGCCTTACCTCTGCTTTCGGAAAACCAACCCGCTGTCCCGGAGGCTGCTTCTATCCTATCCCTGGTTATAGAGTTGTGAATGTCTTGGAGAGGCCCCAAATATTCCCCGGGAAAATGAAGGCTTCGGAGACCATAAGGACACTAGAAAAGGGGGAGGGTTGGGCATGAGCATTTTCCCCCTCTCCCTGCAAGGGCGAGGGGCCCTTCTGGCTTTTCGTGCCTTTTGTCACCCTCCATGGTGAAAGGGGGTCGTTTTTTCAACTGGATGATGTCGCTTCTTTGGGCCGCAATTCCTTTCGTGGCGAGCCGGGCTCGATGTGTCACGTGCCATGTTGAGTGTCGAAAATCGTCCTCTGACTGCCCAAAAGTCGTGTGTGAAATAAATAGACAAATTAAAACGAGAGCAAATGAAGGCAAGGATATGGCAGAGAATGGTTTGGTATTCTAAAAGTTGTCCAAATGGCACTGCAACGAATCGCCCATTCCTTAGGTTGTAAGAATGACACTTGAGAAAAATAAAAAAGTAAAAAAAGTACTTATAATTCAAAAGATAGAAATCATGTACTGACATGATATGCAAGTAATGCAAGTCATGAAAAGTCACATCGCTGTGGGAGAACTGTTGCAGCAGAGACGAACGGAATCGAAAATTTGTCCTCAAGGGAAACCAAACCTTGAAACCCGTAGATCCATAATCTCTCAGATATCATATCCATATCCATCTACTACGAAACCGAAATCCCTGTTCATGTCGAGAAGAATGTAAAATAGTACTAGGGAGACCTGGAAATAAACCGAAAGATAGTACAAAGCCATCACAATAGTAGTTAAAGAAGCCCTGATGACCAACAGAGAGTAAATTTGGGCGATTGGGGTAAAAAAGGACACCGATAGATAAGAAAAGAGATTTGATAAACAATTCCACTTGCGTGGATTACCCTCCTAGTTTCAACGCCAATGACTCCAGGAAACATGCGTAGGCTGGAACATAGACCGAAGACCGAGCCAATAAACAGATAGAAAGGCAAGGAAAAATTCAAATGCAGTTGAGACAACAATATGAACACGACAAAGTTGGGCAGCTTTGTTCTATGTTTTGTTCGCATGGGTAGACTAAACTAAGAAATTCGTTTATTATAAAGTAGTAGAAGAAAAACCATGAATCCAATGAACCAGTCATCTAAAAAGGCTGAAGGGGCAAAAATAAAAGGACGGAAAACTTAAATAATTGTTACCCTGGAATATGGCGATTTGGAGGCGTCCAAATCAAGGTTGAGTGTCTCGATATCATCGAGACTTGACTGCGAATTCGCAATGCACTCATGTTTCAGTCGGCTATTCCCGGAGGCTCGAACAAGTAGCGATGTAAGGTGTTCCACAGAGGACTCTCTGGGGAGGAATGCTTCTCGCTCGTCATAGAGACCATCGTCACACTCATCTTTACAGATCTTTTCGGATAGGATGGTTTCCCTTCGTTCGTCTTCTCCGATCCAAAAGCTCTCGACAGCCCCAAAGAAGCAGACGATACCACAAGCCCACCAAGAAAGACCGGAGTAGCCCCACTCAAGCCCCTTCGAATGTAAATAGCCTGTCACAGTAGGTCCAAATGCGCGACTCAGACTGGCGGTCGAAGCTGCAACGCCATTAATAGCACCCAGCACCGTTGTACAGGGGGCTGAGTTAGCGAGTAAGATGTTCGTTGAAGGGAAAGCAATCACATGCAGTGTTATCTTGGCAATCAACACTGCATAAACCGCGGGTATCTGAAGTCCGCCAGGAAGCAGCACCAGGTAAGGGACAACCAAATATAGTGCTGGCCAGATACAGAGGACGAAACGGTAGGTAGAAAGGGTCCCGAAATAGCCGACAACATAAGGGAAGAACCAAAGTTGAGCTAACATTGAATAAAACCCTTGTACCGCAAGCATGAATCCGATCTTCTTTGTTGACATGGCCATCCCTCCATTAAATTTGAAAGGGAGCTCGGCTTTGACGTCCGAGATTGGTGTACTGAGGAAAATCGGCATCAGCTGATCAAACGAAACGCTGTGGCTGTTGAAATGTTAGATAGGAATGTCCGCATTTATATACCCTTAATGAGAATATAGTAGGGAACATACTATGCAAGGATGCCATAGCTCAATATGACAAAAGTAACTCTTGGCGTAAATACTTTGACAAAGGCCCGGCTCTGCTTAGGCGGCGGATTAATGTTAAAATTTCCACCTGGCACTTTAACGGAAATCAAGCGGGGTGAACTTTCGATGCTTCGGTATCCAGGTGGCAACTGTTGATGATCTGCCAAAACGTGAATTTCATCGGGCTGTATTGGAGCTTTAAATTCCACACCAGGTGTTTGAGCCGGAATTGGCCTTGTGTAAAATACGCCAAGTAGCCAACGCCCTAGCTCGATGCCTCTATCGCGATGGAACTTCTTCTCCGGATGGGTCTCTTGTAAAAAGAGGATACCGATGGTAATTCCAAAACATAAAATAACAACGCACACCAAGTTTGGAAGTAAAAACGGGTAACGGTCAAATATCGTATTGCGAGGGAAAAAACGGGGGTAGTTATCGCATGGTTGAGCCAAAGCTCCGCCCATCGCTGGTCCAACGATCGAGCCGAGGCACCAAACGAAAGGCATAATAGAGTAAGCTCGCGGTTGATGCTTTTTTTTTGTGACAAGTTCCGCCACCGTCGTTTGTAGGACACCAATATTACCGTTGAGAAGCCCTCCAAGAGCACGAGCAAGTAGAGCAATCGGGAGGCTTGATGCGAATCCAAATACAATCATGCTGATCGCTGTTCCAAGTAGACCTATGATTAACACAGGTTTTCTACCAAATTTGTCGCTCATTCGGCCCCAGAAAACTCCAGTCGTGAATTCAGCAAATGTAAAAGCAGATGTTACTGCTCCAGCATACAACGCAATCTTGCGATCGTCATCGGTGACTTTGAAAGAAGAAACCATGTAATAAACATACGGGAAAATCGACATGAAGGCGATGGGTTCACATATTCGGCACAATGCTGTACACAGAATTAGAGATATAACAAACACAACTTTATAACAAACGAGGATTTGAAATCATCTATAATCGAAGGAATATGAAGCCAATAACAAGAGGGGCTGAACAAGACACATACCCAGTACGAATAGCTGCTGTGATGGGAACCGAGTTTCTCCATCTTTCGCGAGGGCAGCTCCCCTCAATACTGAGGTCAATCGACTGCGCATCCCGTCAGCCCTTCGAATAGAGGGCCAGCTGTTGGCTTTCGAGAGCGACTAACGAAGCTCAAAATATGTATGGCACCCAGGCGTACTACCTGCAGACAAATGTAATGGGCGTGTTGAATCCCAGATATCCAGGTTCTAGAGGATTGAAGTGTTGGGAGCGTCTCTGTCAAGATGGCACGGCGTTGTCACCTCTCCAAAATCTTTGGCATGGGAGACAAGCTTCAGAGGTAGCTTTCAGGTTTACTATTGCGAAATATATTGGCCAAATATCAAGGAGGCAAGATGCCAACTCAATAAAACAGAAAGAAAGAAATCGAGAAGACAAGGTCAATTCTTTGAAAAGCGGAGCTTGGTGAAGCTTGTATGGTAGATTCACGACCAAGGTGCGGTAAAATAAATTTTAAAATGGAAAATAACTTTGCAATTATTGAAATTTAATAAGATAAAATAGTTAAATGGTGAAATAAACTAAATCCGTGAAGGAAGCAAAAAGAAGTGACCTCCCATTATTATTAGGTCGAGAGGGCTGGGAGATCGGGGGGATGCATGGCATCTTTTTAAAAGCTTCCCAGACAGTCGGGACAGGGCCACAAGACATAAAATAGTCTCGGCCAATAGTGATCATAATATCACATCTCCTCAAGGGCATCCTGAAGGCGAAGCAAAAAAAAAAAAAAAAATGTGTGGGGGGAGAAAGGCGGTGGGAAGAAGTCTTGAAAATACACATCTTCGGGGATGAGGGAACGAAACACTGCGTCATAGGGAAATAGTTCAGTACCATGACAGCACTATATTTATCATACCTGGGGTTTCAGGCACCTGGATCGAGATAGTCACAGGCAGTTCTAGAGACCGGGGTAGGGACGGATTTAGCCTTTTTGAGTCGGGTTTGACAATTTGGCATCAACCTAGCAAATAATCATGTATCCGGGCACGTAACATCAATACAGAGCATGACCCCATTCCACAAAACAAGTGAGATAAGCCAGGACCCATCTCCACCCAGATAGGCCGAAACTAAAAAATCCTTTGGGATCAAGAAACGACAAAATGGGAGCGTTTACCAAGGTAGTTTATCTACGCTGTGTGTGGCGTAAGGCAAGGTAGATCGTAATTCGTACTGTCGTTTTCCGGATTGGTCAGGAAACAGCCTGTTAAGCGTGTAGTGCAAACTCCAAGGATCCTTTGCCCATTCGATTGGGACGGGATAGGAGAAGGCAAACAGGCAAGATCACCTGGCAGCGCAAGGTGCGAGCGGCATATTTCCTGAGCTCCGACATCGATGAGGACGGCCAATAACCCGGTGCTTCCTATCTTGCGGCGTTCTCATTACAGATCAGCCTCCACCCCCTAGTCTCATTTCGCACGCTCCTATACGCTGGGCGATAAGTGGTATTCTTCTCGTTGATCAACTTGGACAGAGATGGTTCGTCATGCCAGAGACCATTGCGTGCAGTTGAGGGTGGCAGATCACAGCCGCCACTTTGCTCGTATGACGCGTGATAGAATGAGAAGAAAATTACCAGAGGAGAATTCCTGAGACCTATTTCAAATCAGGGGCAGTTGGAATGCCTTTGAACTGTAGCGAAGTCGAAATGTGCTGTTGGCTGTTCCGGGCGGCTATCTAGGCCACAGAAAAGCAATATTGAGTACGGAGTACCGACACTCTGGACGGAACGGTTCACAATAATAATACACCCACCACAAAGTGGCTGGATATACGTTACGAGATAGCGTAATATATTGTACGTATTGTATGACAAATATTACCCGTAGTAATATCACTGTATCTAAATGTCCTGGTGGGTGTGCGGTACAGGGTCACGGTTGTTCAATTTGTTCAATAGCAAATCAACTCTTGTGGACCTTGTCATTTTGTGACTTGTTTGAAGCGGCTTCCTTGGTTGCTCCTTTGTTTGCATTTCTCGGTAGGTTCTTTCACATCATGATTGGTAGAAAACGGGATTCTTACCCTCGATGATGGGATGAGACAACGGCATCGTTCGCTCCGTTAGTGCCGAAACTGTAAACCAAGGACAAAAAAAGAATATCAAGGGGAAACTAAAAAGTTGGGTTTCTGATGAGTCTTAAACGACAAGCCAATATGGAATTGATCTCACTTGGATCAATCGTTTCTCTAGCGCAGACGAAACGGAATATTTTCCGAAATGTATTTGCACTTGAGGAACGCCACAAATGGGTCGCATTACCGATGAAAAAGGGGTGAAAAAGCTTGTTCTCCAAAAGGTCCTTGCTGCAATTGACTTCCAGGACGCCGAATTTTGGGGCAGCCTCTCGCTTTGAATAACAATACATAGATAAACCTCTTCTGAATCGATAATGAAATGCATGACCGGAAAGGCAATTCTCTGCAGCAGAGAGACCAGTTTCCGATGAGCTCAGATAGGCCAGCAAGAAGGCGAGGAAACGGTACAAACAGGGGGTCGCCGTGGGAGCTGATTAATTGGTCGTTCCATTTTAATCCATGCTCTCTTAGCCCCTTATTGATCTGTTCACAACTTCCACATCCCAACTTCCACAATTCGGTTTGCCATGCTTTGAAAGAACAGCAAGCTAGCCTCTATATTGTCAAACCTTCTTGCGGACTTCTACCAGGGACTTGGGAACTAGCCAGAATATTTCTTCCTCGAGGCCAATAGACAGGGGTTTTTCGAATCAAGATGAGAGTTGTCCAGCTGTAAGTCTGGTCAATTTAGTTGTTATCTCGTGAGAAAGCGAGCCATCAGCGTCCCGAATCTAGAGAATTCTAGAGCCAACAGTCCCGAATCAGCCATATGACGTACTTCGGTGGCCGCAGGTCGAAATTCATGAGCTGCAGCTAGGCTATGTGTGCTGCCGTTGGCATCCAACCAGAAGATGACAATGACGTATGAGATCAACGGAAGGTTGATTGGATGAAAATGTCAATATGTGGACTCACATGAAATATTCTGGTCCCTTAAAATTTTCCACAACGAAACGGGATCCGCAATCTAGTATGAGAGAAGGGGAAAAGATCGTCGCATTGAACTACTGCTTTGTAGCAGACAAAGCGTCCTATTATTCTTTAAGTTCTTCCGCTCATATGACGGATAAGCTGAGGAACGTTAAAGCGCATCCATAAATCTCATTCAGTTTGAAGGTCATTGTCATTCCATCTGCGAGTCCGGCTTCCAAACCTGTCAGTATGAAAGGGATATAGCCAACGTGGCAGTTCACCACACGAGACGTGGATAGTGGAGTGCGTCAGTTTTGTCCTGCCGCGATTCGGATTAAGGTATATTTATTACCCAAACCTGATTTTGCGTTAAATGAGGCGCTTAATTTGTCCAAGAGACGTAACGTAGTGTTGTCGAAAGCTTCAAATGATAGGAGATTTAATGTCAGGCACGAGCGAAGTAGCCACAACGGGTGCTTGACAGGCCTGAACACCGAACATCACTCAGCGCCGCCATCACAAATCTCCTCCTTGCGTGATCGATTTGCAATAAACCAATAGGATCGCAGCCATGGGTTGTTTCGAAGTTTGGTTGGAATTTGCCTGTTTACCTCGAGTTTACTTCGCAGCCTTGAGTATGGGAGTTTGATTCAGATCAAAAGAGCAATTAAGTGAGGTACATGTTCAATGTTGACAACAGCCTGGGAAAATTTGAGCCACAATCAAAATTAGATCAAATATTGCTCACCACGAATCTTACCAAGAAATCTCACCCACATCTCAGCGACGATCTGAAGACTTCTCCATCACTGCCTCTTGACAAAGCATGTATTTGGCAAAGAAAAAATGCTAGGGAAAAGGACAGCTGAGCGTCCACGATCTTCGCAACTCAGCTGAATTTACAGCACCCTGTTTGGATGGATTAGTTAACTAGTTACCTAGTTATTTCATTCGAGGAAACCGGGTCTCGGTGGCATTGAAAGTAGGGAAAAACTTTCTGAACAGTGGAATGAACGGGTGTGAGCAAATCCGACCAAGGAAATATCTTTCACTGATCCCATCATTCACTACTCCGTAACGAAGTCGGAGCCCTAACTGGGGTGAAACAACCTCGCAGAAATAAAAGGAACATGCAGGAATCACCCTTGTGACAGGAAATTCGTATTTTGCCCGCACCGAGTACCCGGATAGCCCATGCAAGCGTTGCGCAAAGTCGATTCTAATCAACTTGACCCAGTCACCCGGGACGCTTTGCCAGGTCTGGTTGTTCAGCCATCTCGAGCTGAACGTTTCGTTTCTGGTTTTGACACTTCGAATGAGTGGAGTTTTAATTCTCCATTGGCCAATTTAAATTATGACAGCTGGCATCATTAATTGGTTATTTATCGAAATTTTCATTTCATTTGTCAAGGTTTAAAAACACCGCCACGCGTTTGGGGGTCCAGTTCAAACTACAATAATAATGGAGCCGGCGTGATGCAAGACGAACTGAAGGTAAAGATATCAAGCGGTGAAGCTGCCAAGTTTATGTGAGTGTCGCCAGATCGTCATCGCCCCGCCCCACCAGGGAAAACGTGGAGGGAGTTCGATTATCATCGTCGAATGACTACAGAGAGGTTTTCCACCAAAGGAGAATTAATGACCAACCTCCTTCCCCGTGTCGAAATTTCGCGTGACGTGACGTCCAAGCCCGAACCAAACCCATTTTGGAGGGCATTGACCAAGAATTATTCGACCGGTTCTGGACACATCTCGAGGGAAATATGGAAATGCTCAAGAACGACTGCCACTCGCATTGTGGGCCAAAAATTCCAAAACAAACCGAGTTTGGCCCAACAAATGGCCCCGGCGCTATAGTGGCGCCCCAAGTGTGAGCAGATTAAATTTCTGGCATTGGCATTGCGCCCATATTTCCCGCTGATAATAAAACACACCCAACCTGGGACATTCGTGCAGGACTGCCCTGGCCGCGGGCTAAACAAATATCGTTATTGATCTTTATTCGGATTTAAGAAGCTGCCATTGAGGCCCGAAACTATCGATCCGTAATTTGGAAACCGAAGTTGGAATTGCAGAATACAGCGAGGGTTCGATTATGAGGCATCCCCTTTTCCTTCGACGTCCCGAAGGATGGGCTGACAATCGGCTCTTCGTATCTTTCCAGTCAAACCTTAAAGTTTTCCCGGGTACAAGGGTCCGGTCCCGCGGTGACGGATCCTTAGCGCTGGGTCCACATAGCGTATAACCCAAGCAATGACTAGTGAGATACCTCCGGCCCTGACATCCGTCGTCCGATGTTCTGTGCTTCATACCCCCTATGTGGAATGGTACGAGACCTAAATTCACTGGGATGCGACTAGTAGGATATATATACTCCGTACCCAGTATCGAGACAGTGTTCAACATCAATACGACCGGTACTGTCACGTTCTGTATGGAAATGTCATTTTCTCTGGATTCGTCGTTGGTAGGGTCTCTGTTCATCAGTGCTTGCAGCGCAACCTTGGAATGAACACCAGGTCTTCATTCGCCAACTTCCCTAACCAATCAATTCAAGCAGCTCAAAAATAGAATACCTCATGAACTCACATTCCGGCATTCCGTGTGGTCATGAAGAGCAATTCCATTATTTCTCCCATTATTTTCGCAGTCTGGTTGAATGCGCTTTGGATAAAAATCAACGGAGCGGGCAAGTCATTTTTGCTTTGTACTAGATGTGAGGATGAGAGGAGGGGGTGATAACCTCTGTCTCGCGAACATCCTCGTTGCGGGTTGAGGTCTTGTTGACATCAGCGGCCAATGCGTCGTTACGCGTCCACGGTGGAAACCTGCTCTTGAGATTTTTCGATTCGATTCTCATTGCCGAAAGGTTGTCCGTCTTTGTGAATTTTTTAAAACCGCATCAACCTGGGACAACTGGGCGATGTGTGTTTCCACTTACGATAAACAATTCCTCCCAGACAGAGCAGAACTTCGGCGGACTAAGAAGATAAAGGAAAGCAAGGTTAGGAGAGCTCTAAAAAAAAAAAAAAAAAAAAAAATTAACAAGAAAGAAACCATTAGTAAAGATACCCGACCTGTGAGCTACCCTCTTCAAAAAAGAAGCTGAAACTCTTATTCGGCAATTGAGCATTTGACTGGACAAGGTCCACGGCGCCCGAGTTCAACAAGCCCCCCACGACTCTATCAATATGATGGTCATGTGCATCGAGTGCATCAAAAATTTCATCAAAAAGTGGTTCTAATACGTGTTCACTGCTCACTCTTCCTCTAGGCCGCTCGGATTCCAAAAGGCTGAGGATGGTCGAAGCCCGGAAAACCGGCGAATCCTGGAGTGAAACTGATTCGGCACATGCAGATATGCTGAAGAATTTTTCTGATAACAATCCCCAAAGCTTGTGCTGGAAGGATATTCTTCTCGCCTAATTGACTGGTTGCATGTCATGTCAATCGTGGGCTGGAACAAAGCAACTGCTCGCGACCGCCGTCGCCCTTCGCTCTTTATCCATCCGGACCTTATTCCCACCGGATACCTCACCTCCTCCATGAAGCAGATGCTGCATCCGAAGAACTGAGGTGCTGAAAATACTAAGGTGTCATTCACGATTATTGCACTTTAGGCTGCAGGCGCCTCGTTGCATTGATCCGATCTCGCATTCCATGGGGAGATATCAATGGCTGAGAGACAATGGCAATTTTAGATATGACTGGGGCGATGTACTGTGCCATTTTCCACTGCGCCGGCGTTGTTTGCAGGCGCTCTTATTCTTATAACCACTGTCTGACAGGCCAGCGTCATTGACGATGAATTGGCAGTTTTGGTTCAGTGAAATAGCCTGACGCTACCAATGATCGTGAAGCACAATGCTACGGAAACGGAGACCTCGGATCAGGCAACAAAAACCCCACAAGGCATTAAAGCTATCAAATGAGAGTCATGTCTTTTATTCCAAAGCTGTTTCTCTGTTTACCTTCCGATTCTGCGGCCTATCCCCAATACCCCGTAACTAGCATATGCAGTGAGTTTTAACCTCGTAGCTCTCTTTTCGCCCCTACTCTGGCTTCCTTTGTGGGGGTGGGGTTGAGGTTTGAATGCGGTCATATTTTCCGCGTAAAAGTAATAGTAGTCCTGGTAATTGCCAGCGAACGCGGTCACATAACTCTCAAGTTGTGAGAAATAATTCAACTTCAACCAAATGAAATAAAATATAATAAAGTGTCCAAAACTCTTATTTGCGCCTCCCGATGGAGTTCGGCAACCTCCATCCTGCTTTGCATATTAATTGAAGAGCTTATTGAGACCTGTCATCTGCGCCTGCAGCATCGAACATCGAACACCACTTTGTATTATGTAATTTAAATATCACGTGTTACCACCTCAAAAAATTGAAACTTCGACGAAGTCGATATATGTTGGGCTCCATTTGGCGACTCTCAAGATGCGAATGAAAGGACACATTGGACACCTCCTGTCTATCTCCACTCTCATTAGCTAACTGAGAGCACGGGAAATGAAATAAACTCTAATATAAACCAGTTGTTCTGATATACAGCCTGGCTTATTAGCGTGGTGGAAACCAAGTATGAGCCTGGGAAATGGCATGTCTTTGCTAAGGTCGACTCTAATGCCATTTCTATACCCCACGTTGTCAAGCTCCATACGTAACTCAGTTTCCGCGGCCGCTTCAAGCCGCAAATTAGTGCGGTATTCCTCTGAGGGCGCTGGACGTCTTAACGGCGCCGTACATGTACTCGGCGAGACCAGATTTTCCCACCAGGCGATATTAGCCACAGGCAAATCCGTGGATAAGAACCACTTAAATCCCTCTCCGTCTGATTATTCCCGCTCGATTTTCCAGGACCGCTGCACATTAACACTCCACGCTGGGTCGGGGGGGAACGGCTGCGTTTCATTCCTCCGAGAAAAGTATATTGATGACGGACCCGCAAACGGAGGAGATGGCGGGAGCGGAGGAAACATATTCATACAGGCGGTTGAGGGTGAAACCAGTCTCCACAAGCTGGCTCGAAGAGGAATAATCAAGGCTGGACATGGTCGAAGTGGCCAAGGGAAGTCTCGCGGAGGGCAGCGAGGCAAGGATGTTCTGTTACAGGTGCCCGTAGGAACTGTCATCCGCGAGATCGGGCGGCTTGATCCTTTGGTTGAGGAAGAGCGTCGGTTGGCACAACTTATCCGTGAAATTGGAAAAGAGAAGGGAATGCGCGCTGCATCGGAGCGCCGGGAACGATGGGTCTTTTATCCTGGTTCGCAGCCTTCAGATTTTCTCACAGAAGACTTTCCAGTGCTACCACCAGCCCGTCGCTCGGCGCTAGCTACTTCTCAACCTAAAAAGCCTATATACCTTGATCTCTCAGAGCATATGCCAGAACCGATATTGCTGGCCGCAGGGGCGGTCGGTGGTCTAGGAAATCCGAATTTTGTATCCAACACAAACACAAAACCCAGGTTTGCAACCAGGGGTGAAAAGGGTCTCAAGCTAGAGCTTGAGTTCGAGCTTAAATTACTGGCTGATGTTGGTCTTGTTGGTTTACCAAATGCTGGGAAAAGTACCCTACTTCGTTCAATTACGAACAGTCGGACACGGGTTGGAAATTGGGCATTCACTACGCTCTCGCCGAATATCGGGACCGTTGTGATTGATGATCACTCTGGACGTCCTTTTCTCGAGTCAAAACCCGGGCATCCTCGGCGAACCCATTTCACCATCGCAGATATTCCAGGGTTGATAGAGGGAGCACATTTGGATAAGGGCCTTGGTCTTGGCTTCCTTCGCCACATCGAACGAGCAGGAATCCTCGCGTTCGTCATTGACCTGAGCGCGGGCGATGCTGTACAAGCGCTAAAAGGGCTTTGGCGGGAACTATATGAGTACAACCGCCTTCGAGAGAGGAAATTGAACATCCAAGCAGAGGAGCGGTTAGTTTCGTGGATCCCACTAGATGCCCACCCTCCAGAGCAATTCCTCGATGAGTTCGGCGCACAGCACCTAACACCACCCACCTTGACTCCATCAAAACGAGACGTCTCTGCCAAGAATCTTCCCCCTATGTATACAAAGCCGTGGTTTGTCATCGCGACCAAGGCGGACCTTCCAGGAACGCAGGAGAACTATATAGCCTTGCGTTCTTATCTGGAAGAAGTCGAAAAGGGAAATGTGGAACATCCATCCGGCCAGCCAAATGCGTGGCGAGGCAAGTTGTATTCCATCCCTGTTAGCGCTATCAATGCGCAAGGAGTCAATTCCATACCGGAGAGAGTTGTTCGATTGTTAGACGGCTATTGATATGTAATAATACCGGGCGTTCTGGATCGGACTGTTTTTGTGGGTTTGGGTACATTAGAATATGCTAGAATTTTTTCATACAGATTCATAGATATCTATAGATAGCTATGTAGGCCAATGGTATACGTCTTTTTATCGCCTGCCGTATTTCATCAAAACTGATAACGTTTAGGATGGCAACTATATTAATCTTCAACTGAACACCAGCCCTAAATGGTGTCATTGGGAGGAGGAAAAGATATTTTCCGGGCTGGCGCTTGGTCACGTCCACAAGGGCTCGTCGCCCACAATCTTTTTCAACAGGTCTGTCCTTTTGACGTGACCCGATGCAATCAATACACCGTTTGACTCGTCAAGCCTTGTCCACTGTATCGTCGCCATCCCCAGATGATCCGATCTGCGAATGTTTCGATGGTGACACTGGGAAGCTCATTACAGCTCTCCTTCAGAACACGGACAATGCTCTTGCCCTCGCGGACAGTAAACTACGCGTGTTTCCATTCAAAGACGTGAAGGATTGCTGGAGACGGCTCTATACAGACGCTAGCATCGTAAAAGCATGCTACGCAATAGAAAAACATCTACGTGACGATGACAGCAGTGAGGTGGATTGCCGTAAATTGGAGAAACGAGAGCCGCAAGAATTTGACAGCCCGACATCGAAAGGCGGGCAACACCATAGATATGACATGAATGACCGCACGATCAGGCCGAATTCGCTGTGGCTGTCACCTGTTATCCATACCCTGGATAGAGCACTGATCATGACCCGCGCTCCGCGTAGAGAATTTCTGGTTGAATCACTTATTGCATGTTTGCAGGACATGACAGATTCTCATTCCTCGACAAGGCCATTCGCCCTCTTCTTTGGCAAACTCAACCTGTTCAAGGTCCACTCTGAACTTGAGCAAGAGGAGCAGCCACCACGAAAACGCAGTAAACTAATAACTTCCACTCTGTTCCCCCCAGACATAGCTCCCGCTCCACGCCTGGAACGTCCAATTCGTACTGTCACTTGCCCATCCCTCGAACATTTCATAGAGCATATGAACAATGTTCGCACACCACTAGTCATCGCGGATGCAGTGAGCCACTGGCCTGCGCTCTCGACACGGCCCTGGTCGTCTCCAGAGTACTGGGCCCAGCGGACGTATGACGGCCGGAGACTGGTCCCCGTCGAAGTGGGCAGGTCCTACACTGATGAAGGATGGGGGCAGCGTATCATCCCATTCGGAGAGTTTGTGCGGGACTATCTATGGAGGGTCGAGAGTAGTGGTCAGGATTCAGGTGACGGAAAGGAGAATGGTGGTGAAAATTGCCATGTAGCGAATACTGGGGATCGTGTAGACAGAGTAGCAGGAGGCCAGACGGGCTATATGGCACAGCATGATTTACTGGCGCAGATACCTGCGCTGAGGAAGGATATCTGTATACCAGACTACTGCTATACGGATCCGCCAACGCCGGAACCCGGAACGCCCTTGCATGACAAAAGATTGCGCGAGAGACTGGCTCGAGATAAAGACGAACAGTCAAAAAAGAGTAGCAGGAATATTTTGGGTGATCCAGAGCAAGATCAGGATCAAGGTGGGAAGTCTACAGACAGCGGCGATGATGGCGGGGAAGCGATCGATACCATCTGTGATCCAGTCATTAATACATGGATAGGCCCCTCGTGGACGATATCCCCATTACATCATGATCCGTACCATAACATCCTCGTGCAAGTTGTCGGACAGAAATATATTCGGCTCTACTCTCCCCATACACCCGCATCGCAAATATATCCTCGCGGTATGGAGGTTGTCAACCCCGCCTCCTCTCCACAGCAACAGCAGCAACAGGAAGACAAAGAAACAGACACTGGTGCGCCGACGCCGGCACCGACGCAACTTCAGCAAATTGACATGTCCAACACCTCACAAGTTGATCTTGCGGCCATCGAACTGTCCCCCGCTGAGTCTGAGACCTGGGAGTCGATGTGGCCCGGATTTTCAGATGCAGAGTATGTAGAGACTATTTTGAAGGAAGGAGAGTGTTTGTATATACCTATAGGCTGGTGGCATTATGTGCGCGGTTTGCAAGCGGGGATCAGCGTAAGTTTTTGGTGGACGTAGGATTGTCGGTCTTAAAACGTCCCTTGCTGGGAGGATATGTATATCCCCAGGCTATTTTAGCAAACATGGCCTAACATTACGAGGATATGAGTGTATTGAGCACTTGGGAACAAACGAATGCTGCTACTACGCGTTTATTCGTGCTGTGGAGAAACCGACGCAGTGGGTGACTGCGGTGGAAGGTACTGTGGTCCCACTGCCTTTTGGAGATCATCCAGTTTCCGGCTGCCATTCCGACTCTCCAATGTGTGTAGGGATTATTACGGAGGTGAGGGAGGTGGTTGATAAGTTTAATAGGGACAGGAAGGCGGGGCTTGTGTGAGGGTACTATGATGATGTCTGTGTAATGGATTGGTCTATCCGGCCGAATCGCTTTCTTCCAGTGTCATTTTCATGTTTGTATTTTCCTCAGATATTTTTAACTCTTCAGATAGTCTATTGGAATGGTGAGATGTGGCCCCTGCAGCATATCCAAAAAAACCTTCTCATATTATTCTTGAGCGAAAATTGAAGCTGAAGTCGAATTGCTATCGAGTGGAGTTGGTGGATGTGTGCTCTAACGTGCTCCTTGGTTGGAAGCTCCTCACGCATGGGAAAAGACCAATAGCCAAATCCATTCCCAAACGCCCATCAGTGAAAATTAAATTTTATGTGACTGAAGCGCACAAAAGGGAAATTAAAGCCAATTCATACCAATGTTGAGATGGAGGATGAACACAAAAGCAAAAGAGAAAAGGAAAAGAAAAAGAAAGAAAGAAAACAGCAAGAAGACAAGTATTAGGCAAAAATCATTCACGGTCTTTTCCTTCGCTTCCCTACTTCTGATGCATACTATTCGCCGTTAACCAAACTTTATACCAATTGAGTCAATTGGCAAAAGCAAACATAAGCAGCATTTGCATTTCATAGCGGGAGGTCTGTTGCCTCCTTCATCTTTTCCTTTCTCTTTCTCTATAGCCCAAACGTATGGTAATTATCGTCTCCTTGACAGGCCGATTATTTATCGACCGAAGAACCCTGCGCGGACAAACCATTAACCCGAACATTTCTCTTGAAGCACAGAAGAGAAATGAATAGTAAACAATGAAGTCACTAGCTCATATCAAAATGATAATCGAATATGTTCTGGAAATAGGGTTCAAATGACCCAGAAGCGATATGCGTGCCAGACACGGGAACGCTTGACGAGGGGATATCTATTGGTGTAGTAGAAGGCACTTCAAAAGAAGGGGCGGCGCCAGATAAACTGTACTGGTTTGTAGTACTAACTTTACTATTATTTCCTGGATGGCCTCCAGGTTCGAATGAATGGATGTGCATGTCGTTAAAGTTCTCGCCTAGATTCCCACGACCATTGTCTGGGAGTTGGTGGAGATATTGAGCATAGAACCCAAAGTGACTTCCCTGATCCAAACCTGTACTGACAGGAGCCGAGGAAGATAGAGTGTTGGAAGTGGTTAAGCCTGGCCATCCACCACTTGGATATCCGGCTGAATTAACGCCCACACTACCCGCAGTGCTACCCATAAAGCTATCATGGACACTCGGAGCTCCAGAATTGAAACTAGTGCTGTAGAATGCTGGGCTCTGAAAGCCAGAGCTATTGACACCAGCATTGCTGAGGTTTGATGTGCTGGTCAAAAGTTTATGCATAGGCGGCTGGGACAGTCCAGGGGCAGCAAATGGCGGCTGCATGTCTAAATCATCTAACTGAATATTTTGGACTTCAGGGGGATCACAAAGGCCGTTGTCTCGCTTGAGAATAGATAACCATATCGGATTGTCGGCGCAGGTCTGATTCCACGGGTCGTCACTCCCATATACGATTTGTCGCGCTTCGCTTAAGATATCCTGATCTGTCGGAATGACGCCCTGGCTAACATTGCGCTTGATATATGCTGAGAGTTCAATCTCCAGACGCCGGAAGCAATTTGCATCTCCGGGGACGGGAATGTCAGATGATTCCTCAGTAGAACCTAAATTCGAATCTTTTCTCAGAACATCATAACTGGATTTCTTCGCGGGCGGCTTAGCAACCCACGGGTCCAGTGTGTTCCGCTCTTCCCCGATTAGATATGGAGGCATTCCATTTTCAACAAGCCGTTGAACGACGGGCTCAAAACCCCAGTCTCCTTTCCACTGCGACATATCAGTTCCAGCTTTAAAATGAGTCGTAAGATGATCGACCCTTTCTTTCCAGGTATTGAATATGGCGGAGCAAAAACCACACCGGGACCGGATTTCTGTAGTAGCACTTCTCCAGCTTTCCATCCAAGAGCCAAACTTTACAGAATGCATCAGACGGAGATGTTGACTGAGGTGGTCTTTCCGGTAGAAGGTCCGTTCTTGAAGGGATTTCTCTTGACAAGCATTGAAATTATGAGACTCAAGATGGTCGTCGTCTGGGTTGGGACTTTTGCAGAAGGCACAAACAACCGCACCATCGATAGTGACCACACCCCCCTGAGGTGTACATGTCCATTTTTCCAAGGCAAGATGCAATGACTTTTCATGGCGTTGCCAATCATGCTTAGTAGCGAAAGAGTCAGTGCAGAAAGTGCATTGAAAAATTCGAGCTGCGCGGGCTTTTTGAAACAAGTTTTGCCCGATTGCAGATTTATGGCGACGTCTACGGCGGTGGTCTTTACCATCCATGGAGTTGAACGAGGAGCGGGATGAACGATGTGAGAAGGCAGATGCAAAAGACATATCGGAAATACTGGATTTTGTTGTGTCCAAACTGTAACTACTCACAGATCGGGCAGGGATTACATTGGAGAGACCAGAACCGTCGGTGCTTGAACCCGTTTTTCGAGAATGTGGGAGGAAACGGCCAGCACTGGACGGATTCCTTTCCCCACCACTGGCGAGGTTCCGCTCTGGAGCATAAGGGGCATTTTCCATGGCTCGAATAATATCAGTGGCTGATGCAGGTTCGTGTTCAGGGGGTGAATGCTTCCAACGCTCAAGCGGAGTCAATTCGGAAATATCCACTACCGGAGCTAGTTGTTTGCGTGGAATATCCAGAGCTCCAGTAGGTGGAGGAGAGATATCGCGAAGCAATGGCCGGACCTTTCCTCGACGACGGGCATTTGCAAGCCAATTGCAGATCTGGCTACGCTTCAGCCCTGTTTTCAACTTCAATTCGTCCTTTTCCTTGTCTGAAGGATAGGGATGGTTGGCGTGATTCGTCAGCCACGTCTTTAGTACTCGAATAGCTTCCCTCGGGAATCTGGCGCCACTTTTTCGACCGTTAGGGTCGGTTTCTTCAAACGTAGTGCTAGAGGTACCACCATGAAAGGATCTTAGAAGCTTCTTTCCCGTGAAGCTACCAATTGGCACGTAGCTATCTTCGGAAACGACATGTAATGTATCCAAGCCTTTTTCATGTGGCTTAGTGCGAGTAAAACTGCATTCACGGTACAAAGAGATACAGCATGTGCAACCGTTATTTTGCATCACACCCCTTTTTGCCATGACACAGTTAAGGCCTCGGGAACGACATAGATCGCAGGGCTCCTCAGGTTGAGTTACAGGATATAGATTTGAGGACGGGTCCTCTTTTTGAGGAATATCTGGTTCTGTGTGGGGTGGTTCGGCTGGGAGGAGGGAGACGTCTTTAACAATGAGAGAATCATGTTTCCCTGCAACCTCTGACTCACCAATCACTGGGCAATTGGAAGCAACATCATCGTCCTGAGCTGCTTGTTCAAAATCGAAATATTCCATGATATCTTAGACGTTTGAAGGCACACCGAACCGGATTGCCTCCTAGCGGCAATTTGGGTCGAAGTCCGGGAAACGGAACAATGAAAACTGAGAAGAGGCCGAAAGTTCTTGGGTGTAATGTCAATTGTATATGAAAAATATGGAGGACATGGAAGTGATCAGAAGTCGGAAGACGTGGGCGGAAAAAGCAAGGTCAAGGCAAAAGGGAAGCAAAGATAAGAAGATGGAGGAATTGAGTCACAGACTCGGGGAACCTCGTGTTTGTTAAGCTCTGGCTGGACCCGCCTTGCATCGGTGCAAAGATTCCGGACTCTAGCAATGGGACATTTTTATCTTAAGGAGTGGGGATGGCGGGGAGCAATAGTTCAATGCAGCAACCTTGTTAGGCACAATATTCAGTAGCTTAGTTCAAGGTGAAGCCGGTCTACCATCAATCAGAGGCTTGGCTGTGTATTTCCCCGCCGGTTGTACCATGTCAATGTAGCTTTATCACCGATAGTGCTGCTCCTGTGAATGTGAGGTGCCTCATATCCCGTATATCTGATGTGGATGGCGCTGAAGAACTTGAAGGTTTACGGTCGCCTGATCTGAGAGTAGTAACAAACTTTGGAATCGTGCGAGGGGCGGCAAGGGCCCAAAGTCAAGAAAGCAAATATGTACCCTCAGCTAACTCAATTCTCCGCCGGACCAAGTGGTTGTCTGAGAGTTGATTTGCAAGCCGGGAGCAAGATACGGCTGGCGTCGATGGGGCTAAAGTCAGCCCTCCGGGCGATAGATTACATCAGCCAGCATCTGATCCCTGCGCCCCACGCCCTTTCGTTGACATCCAACACCAGCGCTAAACCCGCATGAGCTAGCCGAGCATTGCAGGATACAAGCCTTCTTTCCAGAAGCTCTGATTTCTAAACGACGCCAACCGGCGTGCTAAGACTTATCATTAAGTGTTGTTCTTGATATTGGCCTGGAGATTTGGACCAACCACAGGAGGTTCATCCAAAGATAAGCTTGATGGGTCAAATGGGAGCCGGGTTAACACGAATGCGCCAACCATCCGGTATCTGCGGTGACTGACCAGCAAATGCTGCTTCTAACCACTTCTTAAACCATATTCAACCGCGCCGGTTTCGGAGTCGCGTTGCTCGCCAACGATGCGGGTTGGGTTGCTTTTTCTTCTGCAGGCTTCCCATCGTCCATCCCACTCATTCATCGCATGATGTTTATTATTCTCGACGGAACACATGTGACTGAATTGCGTGATTACCGCGACTCCCGAGCCGACTCGAGATACCTGGGCACCAATGATGGATCGGTGTCTGGCTGCGGATACCGAAATCGAACATACTCACTTTTGAACCAGACGCCGAATTGAGGCGGTTTTTTTTTATTTCTTTTGTTCGATTGATCGAGCAATAATGATGGCACATGGGCAATTTTATTATTCGGTTCGCTATTCATCGTGCTAATGCCTGTGTACACGACATGCTGTCTTTCTGGGTACCCTCGAGACGTTGGCTCATCCAGTCCCAATTGGATGCTAACAAATACCTGCTCTCAAGAATCGGTATGATCCAGCAGCATGCACAACGGTTCCTAAATGGAAATGTTGACTTCAGTGTCATTGGCAACTCCCCACTTACTCGGTTATGGCAATGAATATATGTTGCATGGTACCATTTCCACCTCCAGGCGCTCAGGCAGGGACATTCCAGGTACAATTATTGCGGTGAAGTCACCATTTCACCAGGCCGTTCAATTTCGAGGCCAAGTTACGACTACGTGTACATACAGTGGCTTTTCAAGCCATCGAGCAAGGACCCTTCGGGGCGAGAAATTGCCGGTTGGGCTCGTTCTGCTTACAACCTTACACATAGGGCTGGCTATTCATCATGTAACCAACAGTGTCAGGGGGACAAGCGGCAACGTCAGCCGACTGAAGACAGCATCGGAGGAAATTCAGTGTTCCGCCTTGTGTGTCCGTTTATCCTGCTCACTTATCTCTCTTTCTGTCTTATGCTACTGTTTGGTTGGTAGAGTGGCAACGCCTCAGATGATCTGGCGGCTTCCGCTTTTAACCGCCTGGTGATATCAATTTGCCCAGTCCAGGAAGCCATGAAGTTTGCACAGATGCATTGGCGCAAAGCTGAAGTCCAATGCACTCTTGGCTGTTTTTTCTTTCTTTGATTAGAGCTCCATGCATCACCGCAACCCGCACTTGAACGGGAATTTGCAATGCCATGGACACCTAAAGTACTTCCAACTCTGTGAGTGAGTGTTGGTGGCTTATTGAAAACATGCACTCGTTTTTAACCTTGTCTACAGCGTAAAGTTTGTATACATTATCGTTGTTCGGCTATTCCGATTTCCCCGCCAAGTTTGGAAGGGTTGGCTTTCCAAACCTCGGCATTGGAGCCCCCTGAACGCCAAGAACCTAATCCCACTCCGAAACCTTTCTCAGGAGCGGAACACAACGGCGCATTCTCGAAGGAACGTCACGACCGAAACCCGAAATGTCATCCTACCGGCTTCCCAACATCCCATCACTGCGAAGACAGCAGCTTCGGCTTGAATTGTAGGGTTTGACCATGAACTTCTTCCCCATGTTTAAAAAGGCAAAGCTGCTGTTTGAATTATTGAGCGCTCATTATCCTGTTATAGCACGAGCCTGAAAACAGCTCCTCCCCCCGGCGTCTACGTGAATATCTCACCGACAGATCCCACCTTCTGGTCTGGTGTTATTTTTGTGCAGAAGGGTAATATATAATATCCGTGGATGCACCCTACCCTACTACACGTGATTTTCCGAAGCCGTTGAACAACGATGAGTTTGAAACCCATGAATGCTAATCAACGGATAACTAGGCCCCTACGCATCTGCGATTCTGCGATTTCAGTTCCGCTTTCCATCGACTTATCCGGATTTACCGCCATTAGTTACTTTCACGACAGATATATTCCACCCCCTCATCGTGCCGCTCACAACCTACACATTTAGCACCAACTCTCCCGATACAGATACTGTAAGCGCAACGGATGAAGAACGTCTACCACCCGGCGGCTTTAGTCTGAGGCATGGATTCCCACATTGGTTTGGAAGAGGAAGAGCTCAGAGGAGTGCGTCGAATTCAGCAGCATCATCACGGAATGTGAGTGGTAGCGAACAGAAGGGCGCGAAACCAGCACCCCTGGAACAGCCCAGTGAAGGGACAACGCCAGCTCCAGACAAAGACGCGGGGACTGGGACTTCGTTTGCGGAAGAGCAAGATGTCTCATCTGCGGGGCGAGTTTCGTCACATGATCCCCATGTGCGTGTATCTCCGTTACCAGCCGGCTCACCGTCTACTGCCAGTGTTCAGGTGGATGTCCCAGTTTTGACGATTCTTAACTACATCCGGTCGACGTTTGATGATGAAGCAGTATTGGACTCCATACCGCTGGAGGCCGCTGGGAACCCTGGAGCCTGGCATGCCTGGCGATCCCATCGGGGGCTGGGAAACAGGGAAGGGGAAGATGGCCCAGATGGACCGGTGAAAAGGAGCAGTCTGCACGCACGCCGACCTGGAGAATGGAACTGGGAAGGTGTTTGGGAGAAGAGAGTGCAAGCTGGAATTGAGACTAGTTACTTGGAATCAGTCCTTTTTGGCAATAGTACGCGGGGTGGTGCGGGCGATGATCTGGTGAGCTGTCACGACCACATCAACTTTTTTCTTATACGTCTATTGTATCTCCGGAAGAATCTAATTCATATTTTACATCCCAGATTCGATTTGTCAAGCTTGACAGTGATACGCTTTCCAAGACGAAGGAAGAGATTATCTCCACCCAAAAGGGTAGTGAGATAGAGACACCATGATTTGGTGGTGCTCAGCCTCGTCAAACATAGCGGGCAGATGTTGGGATAAGGGGCGCCACAATGGTGTTTTATTCCTTGCTGCCTGCTTGCGCTCTTACCTCATAATACTGTATTGCCTTGATTATATACAAAACTTTCATTTTACTCTATCCCAAACTCTATTATTTATTCCGTGTATGCTTGGCTGCTGACTTGGTTCTTTGCTTGACTTTGTCATGGTGCAGCATCGTTCCTTCTGCATGACGCTGATGCTTCTTTTGCTGTGTTTGTCCCTCTGCGTAAACACGGCTTTACTTCTCTCCGTTTAGCTAGATTATATCAACATCTCGTCTTATTTTATATTCCCATCGCTGGCCATTCCATGCTGTTTGTATTTGGCAATCACGCTCTAATTCTATATATCATCCGTTCAAGTTGTCTTCTCGCAATCAGGGGTAGAGAGGTGTATATCGAAAAGTAGGTTCGACATGTTCAAGGTAACACGGAGCGAAGCAAATAGGAATTTAATCTTACTTGCATTGGTGCTTGTTCCCATTGTTCTCCTGTTCGCTATATTTGCAACAGCTCTGGCGTGCTCAGAGTACTGGAGCCTGTTTCGGGAACGGCGACGTCTCCTGCGTGCTGGAAATAACGGCTATTCAAAAAGAATTCATTCAAACGCACCCTGGTTATCGTCATCATCAGAGTCGTCAAACACGTCGACAAAGACATCCGAGTCCAGCGACGGTGACGCAGATATGTACATGAAGCCGGTCCTGTTGAGGGAACACGTCTAACCGTCATTCACTGACACCCATTACCACGCGTTGGTTATATCAGCTCACCTCCCAGGCCCAACACGGACATCCAGCTATGCCTCGGGGAAGAGAGCACAATCATTCTTTCAAACAACGTTTGCAAACTCTTCCAGAGGCTCCTATCGCTTCTTCTCCCAAGAGCTGCGCTGCCCCTTACCCAATCCTCAGGCAGCAATCGTCTTATGCCATCCACCTACCACATCATTTCTCGAGAGCGTCTAAGTATTCCACACTGCAAGCCAGGAGACGTAGTCAGTGGTTATCGATCAGGCAATATTGGAAGGCATTCTTTCCAATACATCACCTCTGACGTTTCGGATTCTTGATAACAACGGGGGTAGCATGGAGGAGGTACGCATTTCAGCCACATCCATCACCCGTGGACATTATCAATGTAATTCTTAATACTCATCTTTTAGGCAACAAAAGAAAATCCACTCTCGAGAGTTAATAATGTTGTGCGGAAGATTCCGTCTCAAGGGGGCATTTTCTCTCGAGTCGCTCAAGTTCTTAATTTCAGCAAAAATCATTCGCGCCTAGGACCCAGCCCTGGCGAATACTCCAGACTAGACCGTCCAACGCGTGTTTTTACTGAGCCAAATTCACCAAATACCAATCCTTATCCTACAAGTCACAAAATTTGGGAACGAGGATCAACACCTCCCATAACTACACCAGAAATATCTGGCCAAAGGACTCCACGCTTTTTCCCTACCAATATTTGTGGCCCGATACACCGCAACAATGTCTTTACTCGCTTTTCATGTCCCCTCCCAATCACAAGCGCAAGAATAGATATAACGATGGATGCTATGAACATTTCAACGCGTGAGGATCTCTTCACATGGGCTGCAGTGGAAATATCCGCAAACGTTAATATAAGTGGCGAGCTTGACACCCAGATTGGATGCGAGGTTCCGCTAGATATTATGATTTTTGTTGATAATTCGTGGGTCTTCCTTGCCCAGATCTCGGTAATAATAGCTGACTGGCCTACTAGAGCAAGCATGTCACCTGCTCTACTAAAGGGGGTATGCCGGACGGTACTCCATTTGGCTTCATCAATAGATATCCTCGTCGACCGACTGGCCATCGGCTGTATATCTGCTGATCCTGAGCAAAATATGCAGCTGCTTTTACCTTTATCTACTTGCAATCTCGACGCTATCCGGGGATTGCTTCAATCGGTACAAATATTCGAATTGCATGGCAATGAACCATGTCAAATGCGCACCTCAAAAGCTCTCCATGAGGCGTCAAATTTGCTTCTGAGGTATTCGAGCAGGGGAGCGCTACGTCATTTGTTTGTGGTCACTGCAAATTCAGGCATATCTCTATCTGAAATATCCCCTAACATAAGCAGTCGAGTGCGATTTCACACCGTATCACCAGAGCCTGCGTTGGGAATATGGGCTTCCGAACCAAAGGATGGTTGGCATCTATCTGTTAGTTTCAATGACGAGGAATATAAAGACGCTGTTCATTCTCTGAAGGAGAATTTGAAGCAAATTATGCGCCATCTTCGCTATGGACTTGATCCCGGTGTCCTGTCAAACTTGTCAATAGATCTAAATGGACAAAATGGTTATGAGATCGAAGCCATTCTTGGTGATACTAAATGCAAAGCTTTGCGACCAGGGGAGAAGTGGACACTTCTTGTTAAAATAAGAGCTGCCCCTGAAGCAATGGAAGTGTCCTCTGGTCATGGCGTCCTCACCAAAGGCGACTTGGAGCGGGGAGATTCTTGGGCTAAAAATCAAGCCGACAACGGCATTCACCACACGATCGACCAATTTCACGGACTCCTTGGTCCCCCTGATAGGGCTGCCGCTGAAAACAATTTCAGTGTAAGCCTAGAACATAGTCATTCAGCACTATCCAGCTCTGCGGTAATTAAATTGGAAAACAAATGTGAAGTTGCCCGCGTCTCCCGCAACGATGCAATGTTCGGTCAAAATATCAGACAGGCTCTTCCCGAAGATGTCCGGAAGTTATATGTCGAGGGAATCACCGTGCAAGGGAGAGCCAAACCAATTCATTCAATGCATTTGAGCTGCCATCTTGACAACGACAATCATGGGGAACCAGAGCAGGGAGAAAATAGTAGTGAACTTCCTTTCGTTCATTCCCCATTAGACATCTTACCCGGATCTGGAGTTGCACAACAGTCCCCTGGTAGAGCTGGGTAGTTTAAACCCGTTTCGAAATTTGGTGAGAGGATGTGATGATAGATGCTTTCACAACTTATCTCTGGATGGGAAAATCTCGGGAAAGCAGGCGTTCGTTTCACCAATTACCTAGGTGCTGATGGCAATTCTACCTTCGACTAGGATATAAAATGGTATATTGGGATTGAGATTGGCTATGCTTTGACTTTTCTTCCAGTCTGGTTCCTCTCTCCCTTATCCACAAACGATTTGTAAAACGGCTTGATTGACGGAGTTTTTATATATAAAGTGCTTGAGCGAGGTTAACCTCAGTGGCTATAGGCTACAAAGTAAACTGTGTTAATGGTTATCAGTCTACGGACGTACTGATATTATGGTTCGGTGTTTTTAGGAAAAGGCGTCTGTTAGGGCGCTGTAATCGACAGGGAAGGTGGTTTCATCTTAGTTACGACAAATCCATGGATAATACCAAGGAAAACAGAAACCATAAACAAATTCGACTCCACTCATTCACTTCGTAAATAATAACATAAATCCATCATCCATCATTTCTCAGCTATATTTATTTCATGGCTTTACTCGAGTCATTCCCTGGCCTTCCGTTTGACGCTCCACGCTTTTTTCCTTATCCAGCCAAATGGGTTCCCCCTCATCATCAAACTCCGCCCACTGGAAAAATGAACACGACGCCTTCCCAACCGCATACCCAGAATAGCACATCCACATATATCTTCCCCGCGTCTCCCTTTTCCTCTGCACGCAGCGCAACACACACGGCATTCCGCAATGGCACCTGGGAGTATGTCGCGGGTGCAGAGACTCACGGTACCAGCGGTATGTGATATTTATGCGTTTGTTACCCGCGATTGGATGGGGAGTTATAGTCTGTGTGGGGCTGATGCTGTGTTTGTATTCTTCTTGAGTTTCGGCATGCATTACCAGGAGGGAGTTATGTGGAAGGTGGATGGAGATTTGGCCTTGTATGTCCGCTCTACTTACTGGCGTTGTAGACGTAGATGTAGATGCCGTAGGCCTCTCTTCTTTGCTATTATCACTATTGCTGTTAATGTTATCATTGAGATCTTCGGGATCATCAGGTGGCACTATCTTCCGCACCCGGAACTCCCTCATCACGCCTAGACTTAGACTACCAATGACGGGTCGAGGCCCCAGATACGTCAGTTCATCCGAGTGGTAGCCCACGCTCTCGGAGGGCCCATCATAACAGTTCACAAATGCCGCATTGGGGATCCATGTACGCGTCGATTGGTATTTTAGTTTCTTTCCTCCAGGGTAGTGTGATTTGATACGCTTACGGATCTCGTCATTCACGGCTTGTTGGACTTTTGTAGAAACACGACGGAGTTCCGGGGTTAATACCCGGACATCTGTTCGATAGCTGCCATTGTAGGAGTATTCGTGTTTCTGTTGATGTAGTTCTTCAGCGCTGGCGACATAGAAGCCTGCGGAGTGGGGACTCTGGACCGTGTTTTCGAAGAGTTGGAAAGTTTGTCTGGGGAATGTTTTGGCTTCTTCGAGGAGTTCGCGCAGAAGATCGTTGGCTTCATTGGTGGGGAGGAAGTTGTGGATTATGGTGCAAGGAGTGTACTTAGATATGTCCTCAGGGGAGAAGAGGTGCAAGGTCCGCCCTCTTTTCGTGAGAGGTTTCGATCCTAGTTTGGGCGTTGATAAGCTTGCCGCTGTTACGCCGAATGATGAGAGTGAGCTTTGTATGCCTAGGCCTCTAGAAATTGTGCGCTTCTTATTACTGTGCGGAGGCGTCTGGGATGATAGGGTAGAGCATGCCGTCGTGACCGATCCTTCACTGTCAATCAACGAATCAAGAAGGATTTCTTGCTCGAAATCTGGGAAGAGCGATGCCAGAATGGCCAGCTTTATATCTGTTGATTCATCCTCTCTAGCTATCCCACAGTCCCCTTCTTTGGCTGAAAGAAGTGTTGTGGTGTCTTGAGGCCTCGGCGAGTTGGAGTCTCTTAGACGTTTCCGAGAGAGAAACTGATCCATTTCCTTTCAAAATTTTCTATTTACTTCGGACAGTACATGTGTATTCAGATGATAGCAATCCCCCGAGCCATTTATTGCCTAGTTTGCGTCACGTTGTGGGGATGAATCGAGTACGAGATCTGGAGAGACGCGAGATCATGTGACACCAATTGACTTCCAAGGTTCCAAGGCTGTTGAATACAGCGCTGAGAGCAATGATGAGGACTCGAAGTTGAATGGTTAATAATTTAGCGTGCCCCTAGGATTCCGATTAAAGAATCCAGTGGAAGTGGCAGTCGAAATTCTTGAGAGCAGCGAAATCGAAGTACTTCTACGTAGGGATAGCTAAGTATCGGTCTCCAACGTCGCAGAGCCGTGATGCATTCCTTTCAAGTTAAAATTTGCTCCGCTGATGGATAGGAACTCACCAGTTGAGTATGGTAGAGAGATTGGCAGGGTATCTCGCAAATTGGAATTTTCCTGGTCTCTTGTAATCGAGAATTGTGGATTTTGATATCATGGACGTGTGTCTCATGTATTCAAAATAGTGCGGAGAATCGCAGCGGTTCCTGTTCAGTTGCAATTGAACACAAGATATCCCTTTATCCGAATCTGGATTACACTCGGATGGCAATGAAAGACACGCTCTCTCTAATATCAGAAGGTTGCTGAAGGTTGTCGGGAAGTGTCCACGGGTGGCGGACCGAAGACCCACGTGATGATGACATCAGGAACAAGATCTGGACCTCGGTGGTTCAACGTCAAGTCAAAAAGGTGCTGGATTGAAGTTCAATTTGCTTCGGAACATTTTCTCCCTCACGACACACGGGCTATCCTGGAACAACATCTGAGGATGCGGATCCCCATATACATCTCCGAAGGGACATACTCAAATTGACCCCATGAGAAGAGCTGGTCGCCCATAAAGCCGCGCCAACTTGTTTTGGGATCACCAATTGGAAGCATTTCCCACTCCTTATTCCCCGCTCGGCAACATGCTTGAGTTCCGCACTGAGGGTTTCAATGGATATGCAGTGAAATACTCCCCTTTCTTTGACTCCCGCCTTGCGGTTGCTGCATCAGCGAATTTTGGCCTTGTTGGAAATGGCAGGCTTTACATTCTCGACTTGACACCCAACGGCATCGTCCCTTTGAAATAGTAAGCCACGAAAAGACATATCAAAACCTTTAAATATAAATTATCCTAACCCTTCCCCCTCTGCAAGATTTTGCTTAATCATTTTCAATTTTTCGATTTTTCATTTTTTTTTTTTTCTTTTTGAAAATACCTCGCGTGATTTACGTATTACTAACAGCTCTATTTTAATACCAGCTTCACAACGCAAGATTCTCTTTACGATATTGCTTGGTCCGAAATCCATGAAAACCAAGCCCTCGTGGGTTCCGGGGATGGAAGCATTAAGCTCTTCGATGCTACAGTGGATGAGTTTCCTGTCCAAGGATGGAAAGAACATTCTCGAGAAGTTTTCTCAGTACATTGGAATTTAGTAGCTAAGGACCGATTTTCCTCCAGTAGCTGGGACGGAACCGTTAAAATTTGGTCCCCCTCCAGACCGCAATCACTCTTAACTCTCCCGACACATAGCTGTACGTATTCTGCCGCGTTTTCACCGCACTCTCCCGATATTTTATCTTGTGTTTCCTCAGACTCGCACCTCCGCGTCTTCGATTTGCGCACACCTGCCTCCGCAAACAATCACCTTACAGTACAAATCCCGATTCACAAAGGATCATCGGTACCTACGAAGCCAGGATTTCAACCTGCACCCGCTTCGTGCCCTCCATCAGAGGCTCTGACGCATGACTGGAACAAATATCGACCTTCAGTTCTTGCCACGGCCGGTGTCGACCGTACAATCCGTACCTTTGATATCCGTGCTCCGCATCAGGGTCCTCTCTCTGCCATGATTGGACATGAATATGCCGTCAGAAAAGTTACCTGGTCACCGCATCTTTCGCACGTTCTGCTTAGCGCTAGCTATGACATGACTTGCCGTGTTTGGAGCGACTGCTCCGATACCGGAACGCCTGGTGATGATGCGGGCTTCGTGCATGGTGGACCGAGCGCTGAATCAGCAATGGGCAGGGAGCTGGGGCGCATGGGGCGCCATACGGAGTTTGCCACAGGTGTAGATTGGTGTCTCTTTGGGAGTGAAGGGTGGTGCGCAAGTTGTGGGTGGGACGAAAGGCTCTGTGTTTGGGATGTAAGAGCGGTGATTGCCTGATACTAAAAATTTTACTGATATGATGTATCTGACCACATCTCAACGTCATCTACCCTCGAAACCGTGATGTGATATGGATGGCCTACGTTTCGATCTCTATCACACGACCTTTTTTACACGTTTCGACTAGACCGCAATTAAATAACGACCGAAACCTGCAGCAGCGAGGAAACCATTTGTAGTGTTACAACAGTCTGGGCTTTCCAATACCCTTGGAGTACCATTTACCTCTTCCACGGCCACCTCATCGGGGACCCATCAGGGACCCATCGGCTACTATCTACTCAACGCTAGACGGCTCAACGATACGAAACCCCCCACTCGCAAGCTCAGTGAGCACTAAAGGACCCCTTGTTGGCACATTATCTGCATTTGTCGCCGTAGAATCATATCAGCTGTGAACGAACCCATACTTCCACTGTCAATTCCTACGTCTTTGGATGTCAAAGTAACTCGTCCCGCGGATTTGACTACGCAGCCCAAGTAATGGTTTTGGCCCGGATATATTGAATTAGAAGGATTGCATAGCTTCTCATCACTGTTATGATAGCGAAATTGGCCTCTAAATGTAGTTTCCGCCATTGGGATATAGTTGCCCTCTGGGGAATAGCCTGACTCAAGACATTTGGAAAGGATCTTAAAGGGGGTGCGTGATATTGAGAGTCAGGCTAGTCCAATATGAAATAAATAATAAAATCGTTCATGAGAAGAAGAAAATATCCAGCCCTCTGACTCATGGCCAGGCTTCTCAGTCCGCCTGGTTCTTTCGGCCCGGTCTGGGTCCAAGAGGGGCAACACCAGCCAAGAGACAACTAATGTCGTTTTGGATGAAGAAGACAACCGGCTGCTGAGAGGTCTGACCGCCACCTTTGTCCTTGCAAGTGCATGGATAATTTTATCATACTATTCTCTGTGACGGTTCCCTGTCCTCGGCAATCCGTTCGGCAAGAAAAGAGCAGCGGAGGTCAGGTTTTCTGTTATACACAGAAAAAGAGCCTTTTTGACAGGCGATGATTGATTAATAATGTCAACTCCTCTCCTGTGCACAGTGTATGCAAGCAGCCGCGTGGCTTGGTAGGGCTGGTGCTGGCGCTCTGTTTGCCACGAGTTCGACACTGAAGAAACATAATAGGCATAACGGTCCGTCATTATCATTATTCCTCCGATGCATAGACGTTTAAAAGGATGGGATATCAACGTATGTCGAACATCCTCTCGCCCATCGAGCGAGGCTAAAAGATTTACGGATGGTGCGCTTCATCGATTGCTGTACGTAAAGTATAAGGTTCTGGACTTGGAGTGTCCATCTGAGTGCAATGGGAAAATGGCCACACTTTTGCTTGGCTGACAAAATTGCGGATACATCCATGAATATCAATGGCAAACCGATCCGCTCTCCCTTTCCCGTATAGGTGGGGTCCGGCTACTTGGAACAAAAAGCCTTTAGTTTGTCGCGAAGGGCGCACTAGAACCGCATCAACCGCTTAACAGGTTCGGAGATGCGTTAGCCAGGAAAACGATACCAGAGCAAGCCGGGGTAACCGAACGACTTTCTTAGTGCCAGCAAGGGCAGCCTGAGCTTGTAATCGCAATTTTGGCGGTTTGCCGCTGCGAGTTTGGGAGGCGGATGCCCCTCAAAGACCCACAGAGTTTCAGGGATGACTACCATGAAATGCTATAAAATCATGGAAGCCGACCCAGGCCTTTTGCTAGCTCGAAATTGCGATATTATCGTAACTACATGAGTTATGTTTTTGGGCTGGGAGGGATATACATATTTTGTGCTGGTTTTTGGAAGCTATATTTCTCAATGACAGCTGATGCAGATAGGACTGATAGAATGGGGAGCATATATATGCCGTCAGGTATTGTATTCTCTGGAGTTATAAAATCCGGTAAAATTTTTCAATACTGACCCTACAGCAGATTCAAACATTATACCACAGAATCTGTCGAATGACTCACTTTCGCAAAGTGAGGATGGTTCCCCTGTACTCGATGAAACGCTGGATTATGCACTCTCCGCATACAGATTCCGTCGAGTTGCGTCGAAAACAATTGTGTCATTCCATTCCAAAGATCCCGAAAATCCAGTCAATTGGAGTAAAGTATGTATATATATATATATATAAATATGCACTGTATGCAAGCTTCCTGGTATTTACCAGCGTTTATATCTGTTTGGGATATGCAACGTGGAATAGTAGCTAACACCACCATTACAGAATAAAAAGCGGTTCATCTTTACCGCAGGGATTGTAACTGTCCTGAATAGTACCCTCTGTGCCTCCTTACCCAGCGGTGCAATGCCATTTATTTCCAAAGAGTTCAACATAACAAGCAAGGAGCAGTTGGTCCTCCCTATATCCTTGTTCCTTGTTGGCTATGTTTTTGGCCCGATCTTCTGTGGCCCTATGTCGGAATCATACGGGAGGAAAGCCATGATGATAATCCCATTCTTTATTTTCATGGTCTTCACAATGGGCTGTGCACTCTGCCGAAATTGGGAATCTCTGTTAGTCTTCAGATTGATTCTGGGTGTCGCAGCAGCTGCTCCAATTGCTATTGTAGGCGGCCTATTTGCCGATATCCACAGCGATCCAAGGGAGCGAGGTCAAGTCATGGCATACTTTATGGCTGTGGGTACATGCCACTTTCCTAGGGGACACATGATCACTAATATTGCACTTAGGTGACTACCGTTGGTCCACTTATCAGCCCCTGGCTGTCAGGTTTTACAGCACCAATAAGTTGGAGGTGGCCTTTTTGGATATCACTTATCTTTGCAGCCCTTTCCGCTCCACTGTGCTTTTTCATGCCTGAGACGTACGCCCCTGTTCTCTTGCAGCGGAGAGCTCGAGCTTTACGCAAGAGCACAGGCAACGGCAATATTGTCGCTCCATTTGATATCCAAAAGCGAGGGTTAAGAGTGATACTCACTGTCACCCTAACACGTCCGCTTCGTATGTTCATTCAGGAGTCAATCGTGCTTTTTACTTGCTTATATTTGGCAATTGTCTATGCGATATTTTTCATCTACTTTCAAGCGTATCCAATTATTTTTCAAGGTATGACCAAGTTCCGCCACGTTCTGGAACCTTGCATATTGTTTTTTCTAACCAACGGATTGAAGGTATATATGGCATGAATACTGGTGTCAGCGGCCTAATGTATCTACCCAGTAAGTTGTATAACTTTCCCAAACGCATTCGAGTCTTCGCTAACATATTTTCCCCTACAGTCGCCATTGGTGCATTTTTCTCTTGTGCGGTATTTAGCTGGTGAGATTCTTATCTCCACAAGGCCAAGGCCACGGGCGCAAGTTGGGCCGATATTGAAGAATATAGACGCCTCCCGCTTGCTTGTATCGGAGGGCCACTATATGTTATTGCTCTATTCTGGCTAGGCTGGACTTCCTCGACAAACATTCACTGAGCAGTTCCCATGCTATCCGGTATACCATTTGGTCAGGCTACTTGCTGATTTTCATGGCAATGCTTAACTACCTATCCGATGCGTATGAGACATTCTCATCTAGCGCCCAGTCTGCAGCTAGCTGCTGCCGGAGCACTTTTGCCGTTCTCCTCCCCATTTCCACCACCCCAATGTTTAGTCGCCTGGGGGTAAGTTGGTCATGCAGCATGCTGGGATTCTTCAGTCTGGCCATGTCGCTTATCCCGTTCGCATTCATCCGGTATGGTGAGCATATTAGACGGAATAGCAAATTCTGCCAATATCTCCGCGAGCAGAAGGAGGCGGATCGGATAGCCGAGGAGGAGGAGGACAGGATGCATCATCTGAGGGCTGAAACCGGAAGGGATGTTGAAAAAGGCCGGGTCACCAGTGCTCCCATACCATGAGATAGGAATTTCACCCGAGGACACGCTCTCTTAACAACCGTCTGTCATCTGAAGTAAGGTTTTATGGGAAATAGTTAAGTGGTCACGACTTGCATTAACAACGATGAACGCACCAAGGAGATTTAAGTTTATAGTCGATTTACGACACGGAAACTTTATAAATATTTCTTACCGTCTCTCATCTTCGAATCTTCTCCAGGTTTATACACTTTTGTGGGCTTTCTAGTGATAGAGCCACGGAGCAGGATAGGGTTCTGTGTGCGTTTTATGCTTCTTTTCTTTTCGGTTTCCCCCGGGGTTTCATTCACGCGATGCATGCATGGGATTGTCAGAATAAACGGCGTTTATTTCTACCGAGAATGCGAAAACGGAGTTAGTGTTCTATGATGGCAGGGTTTAAAATGATTTTCCTTTGCGCTCGTTTCTCCTGAACCAATAAAACAGGTTATAAAAATGTTAGGATACATGCTTTAGAAATAATGTGAACGGTGTTAGGCCTGCCTATGATGAATGGGCGGAAAATGTAAATGTTAAGGTTTTGATTATAAACTAGGATGTTTAATATTAGCTCAATCACCACCAGCGCCGTGGTGGTCAATCCAATCCCCCAACATTTAGTTAATTAGGGCTCGTAGGTCACATGAATGTCCCTAAACTCCTCTCCCGTCCTCACCAAAACTGCTGCTCTTACAGTATAGTTTTAGTATTGGGTGCCAAATTTTATGGCATGGCACTGCATCGTACACAGGACCATATATTCTAGAGTATTCAAATTTCAAACGGTTAGTTCGCTACCTGCGCTGGGAAACTCACTGTTAGATTCTGACGGTATGGCTAATTCCATTAAAAAGAAAGGAGTCAAGAGTGCATGGCACAAAGGTTTTCCCAAGGTAATCGATCCAACACGAACCCGGCCCAAATAAATGGCGGAGTCAGTCCTCCAAGTCGAATTTACTGTGGGGGCGCCAAATATGGCACACTTTTGCCCATATCCTACGCATGCAAGCCTACAACCGATCAATACTACGCTGAAGCGGCAGTGTTGAATGAGGTGGAGCGAAAGTTGAGCGTACCCCAAGCGAGGCTTCTCTTCGCGCGACTGTTGAATATAACAAGGGCCCTCGTGATTATTGAGGTATGAGAACTTTTGCGAGGTCTATGAAGATCGCTTACTGCGGGGAGGGTTCATGCCAGCCTCTGGGCCGATGGTTGGCCATCATTGGTGTCCAAACTGACGGGAACTGTAAGCAGATTGGCTGAGCAGGAGCTGCGGGGACGGAGGTGGAGTGTGTTGATCAATAAAGCCGAATTTGATACAATGCCTGAGTTTGAAATGACATACCGCTGTGGATGGATAATCATGAACATGGACAAAGAACTTAAACGTCATATGACATAACGAAAATACGTTGCGCAATCACAAGCCATTTTCCGATTCAGATATCTAAGTTCCACTGGTATCTTTTTTGGATTTGTAACTCCAGATGTTCTGGGCAAAACTAATAACCCATTTGAGTCATTAGTAAATATTCACTGTGGTGAAGGTTTAGATCAAAATGGCAAAGAATAAGAATATCCAGTGCTTCAGTGCCTATTGGAAACTGCCTGCCTGCATCTAGCCCTGCTTGTTTGAATGAGGGTTGCCGGGTGTCTACCATATTCTGAACAGGAGTGAGTCAATATTCAAAAGGGCAAGACGAAGCAGGATACCAATCATACCTGCCCATCATTTGTCGCCAGATATTGTTTGTATAAATGATAGCTTGCATCCACTTACCAGAACCGGAGGTTAATGGCGGGGAAGGAGGGGTTACCACCCAGCTTCGTTGAATACCAGTAAGGCCAATTAAGATGATTAATTACTATTAGCCGTCGAAATATCATGTCCATTGATGGCGGCGCTGCGGGAGAAGCAATTGATGTTGTGTGCGGAAGAATCAATCCAACTCCCATCCTCAGGAATCACGCACAGAAAGTGATTTGATATGGGCAAAGAGGACTTCCGAAGCGGGCCGTAACCCAAACTTTTACCCCACAGTAATTCGACTTGGTGGCCTGGAAACTGATAAAGTTATGTCTTCATCTTTCTGTTTCGACTAAGAGGTCAATCACAAAGCCAATGGTTCAGAATTCGGCTGAATTCATACCTTGTATGTGTTTGTACACCTTACAGTTACATTCCTCCAGCTCCTCGTCTCCCCCCCTCCTCCTCCTCCACCGCCGCCGCCAGTCTTTCTTTGTTCCTTCAATGTAGGATCGAGGAATCTTGGGTCCATACATATGTGTGGTACGTGGATGGACCCAAAAATCTATCAAATTTCCGGCAACTCCCCGTGGAGCTACCACCTATTTCTCCTACTTCCCCGCCTTGGTTCAAGGATCATCTCTGGAATAATAGATCTCCGCAACCTCTCCGGTCAACCTCCAAGTTCATGTCCCCTTTGACCCCCTCCAGCTCCAAAGAAAATCCTCAACCAGGTGCCCCAACAGGCTTCCCGTGGAAGGGGAAGAGTCCTTGATTTATGCAAGCTAGCGGAGGTTCGGACCTGTTCTGGAAGAATAACTAGCCAAATCTGTCATGGCGCAAGGGGAGCATTGCATAGGAACGTAGGCTAAGATAGGATTTTAGCGACTTGGCGATTGGCCACATATTACATAGTACCAACGCATGCTGCATAGTTAAATGCAGAAATGAATATCATGGACATAGTAAGGTAAGGTTTTTGGCCTTTAGTTTTATTTTTTGGTTGGGGGAAAAGGGGGAGTTAAATTCCGAGCTTCGGAATTAGGTTTCCATAAACGCATGTTTTTTCATTCTGCACGAGAAGGCCAACAAGGTTCGAGGCCTTCAAGACTGAGGGACATCCAAGGCAGGAAACCTCGCGTTGGCGAATGGCGGGGATGTTGCTGACGAAACCGGCGATTTGTTTCCGAAAAGGATCGGGTTGGACGGTTTCGATGTGAGGAGTAACTATTCGTAACGAAAATGAGCAGTTGAATCAATGGTCGGCACATGGATGCATGTAATTGACCCCAAGCTATTGGGAAACCAGCCGTATGCTCTGCGCATGTGTATGCTCTGCACATGTGCATGCATGGACAGTACCTGAACTTTGCGGGCGTAGTTGTATTCTTCTTATCTTACGAGGTGAAGTTCAGCTTTTGACAAGATGATTTTAGGTTTGATTAGTCTCAGCCGCGTGGCACCCGGCGCTATTTTATCCGTCCCAAGCCCTGTCGGCTTTCATTCGATGTGATGATGATGATGATGATGCGGGGATGGATAATTCCACACGGCCACTGGAGCAAAAGAGCTCAATCACCACCTGCAACCATGCTGGTAGCAGAGGGGACGGACCAATCCAAACACCCAACACTGCTATCATATCATCAATAGATTCTATGCCATTGATCGATACTAATATCACCGATAGCTACATTCATATACCTATCATATCATTGATAGATTAGAGCATAAAGATTCAATAATACTGATATCGCTGCATCTTGTTATCAAAGACACACAGCAAGGAGCAGTATTTTTATCTGTAATATAATGTTTTCACTATACCTCAAACATACCGGGTACGTGTGTTAATCATTCCATCCCCATGTAATACAGATGTGTGATAGGCAAGGATGCCAGCCAAAGCAACGGCTAGCGAGAGATGAACAATTGTGGTATTTAAGCTGTCTTAGCACTTCTGCATATACCCCATGAGGGCTTCAATTGCGCCCACTGCGTAATTCTACAGATCAATTTTCCCTTCCCCCTTTCCCGCTCATCCAGGATTTTAAATCCCGAGTCTCCGCCCCTGTCAATGGCAATGTTGTGGAAGGTTGGAAGGTGAAATGAGCTGGGCACAGTCTGTGCAGACTACTACGTCGATGGTGTTGATGAGTGAAGGCCAGGTTCCGAAATAATGAAGTCTTCAAAAAATTCCAAATGGTGTCATTGCTGTTGTGCATCGCTTGATCGCTCTTTTTGCAGAGCGGCGATCATACCAACTACCGATCCGATCACTCAGTAGTACAAGGTTGGTCGACTATGCCCTATGACTCTATTCGATTTTCCTTGTCAAAATCTCTGCGATGTTCGGAGCGGAACGCTTGCGGAGTAGTTACAGCACCATCTTTGTCCCGGAATCTTAGGGAGGGAAAAAAAAAAGAAAAGAAAAGAAAAGAAAAGACATGGCAGGCCCAATTGGACGATAATCAGAGTGTGGAAGAAAGGACATTGGCCGGAAATGTGAAACAAGACCCGCATACAATTGTGGAGGGGGGAATCCGCGGGCGAGAGTTTTCTATTCTTTTTATTGTGTTTGATGTATGTAGGCTGCAAGGGGCAAATGTGTGAATGTAACTATTTCCCAAGTTTTTGGGCCATCTCCTGCACGGACAAGTTCCATGCATAACTACAGCTATGGAGAAGGATCTAAGGAGACATGGATGTCCACACAGATCGCGACTGTCATAAGGAATTCCTTCCACCCCCCACCCCTTGGAATAGGTCAAGGCGGGGCCGGGGGAGGAGGTACAGGAACTGTATGGGGAGAAAAGGAATATTGGTTTTGCAGAACAATGTTCATCAATCCATCAATTGGGGGGGACTACCAACAAAGGGTTAAGAAGCACAGACTGCACCCTTAATCGAAACCGGCCGGAGAAGCATGAAATTTCATCAGGTTCAAGAGTGAGATGCGAAAAACTTTGTTTTTCTTTCTAGGTTCCTTGTTCGCTTGCCCATAAAATGAGATAGGTCTCCGAGAGTGTGAGCATAATATAGTGCCACAGAGCAACAATGAAAATAGTCGACCTGCTAGAGAACCGTTGCTCATTATTTTATTTTATTTATTTTTATTTATTTAGTTTTTTTTTTTTTTTTCTTCTGACGCAGGAGGCTCCAATTTTTCTGAGGAAACAAAAAAGAATACAAAAAGTTTAACAATTGGTTTCTTGGCTGGAGTTTCAGTG